TCACAAAATATTATTAAAGATCCATTTATAGTGTCAACACAAATTTTGTTGCAGATATTATTCCTAATCTTAAATTAAAAACCACGTTTCGCTAGCTACTGTAATTTTGGAATTATGATTTTTTAAAATTTTTAACCCTCCCCAAAACCCCCCTACTAAATCCCCCATCCCCACCAAAACTAATGGCCAGATTCTCGGGTGCTACAGTATTTTGTGCCAAATTTGGTTAAAATCGGTTTAAGCGGTTTTGAGTTATCGTATTACATACGGACAGACAGACAGACACCATGAAAATATTTTGTATTTAGGTCATTTATGATCCAAATAACTCATTTTGAGTGAAATTAAAAAAACTTTTTTTTTGCCGATCTCAATAGTCTACCATACCTATTGGTATGGTCGGCTAAAAAACGAAGAAAATTTAATTTTTATTTTAGAAAGTTTGGCGTCGAATTTTAAACATCCTGTATGATTTAAGATTACGATATTTATAGCAAAGTAAGTACAGACAATCTAACGTAAATACATATAGTTTTGATTTCAGGACATTTCTTGTATTTTTAATAATTTTTTAAGAAATGCCGAAAAATATATATTTTTTATTTGTTTATGTAAAGTGATCTGAAAGAAAGCCCAAAAATGCAATAATATACAGGGCGTTCAATTTAAAAAAAAATCATCCCGATCCACTCACAGTTTTTTGAGCCACTCTGTAGAAGTTAAAATATTTTCCTGAAATACGGATGTATTACTACTTACATACTTTAGGTTAGTACTTAAAGAAAATTGCTAGTTTTTTATTTTAGGAGCTACAGATGCCCGACGCACTATTGCCGGACCCTGTATAAGTTGGCCGAATTGGCGCGAAAAGTTAACGTAAGCGGTTGAATATTCGACCAGTAAGCATTGGTGACACAAGGGTCCAAGGGTGACACTGAGTTCGCTGTGTATCAAAAATGGTAATAGGTAATTGTCTAAGCATTTTCTTTGCAAATTTCGTGCAATAAAAATTTAAAAATATAGAAACAAATGTATCTATGACGTTTATTTCTTTTTATTTAGTGCACCAAATTTACAGCTCGGATGATATTTTCTAAAATCGTTAACATATCCTGTATATTTTCGATCATTTCTCATAGGATGCATGCGAGTTTGCGGAAAAACACAATTTGATTTACTTGATATGGGCATATTATATTTTTGAGTAGAGAGCTAACAGAGATAATCAAAATGAACTTACTCTTTTTTTCTTACATTGGATAATGCACACAGTTTATACATTATACAGGGTTGTTCACCACATACGACACGGAGTATTGTAGCTAAACGATTAGATTTTTACAAATTTTAAGTTTTGGTTTCGTTGAAGGACTATTAGAGCTACAATTTAGAAATAATTTTACAAGATACAGAGTGTCCCAAATAACAAAATAAAAACACTAAATCACCACAATACACCAAAACACTTTTACTTTTACACTGGACGCGCGTTTCGCTAACCATGTTAGCATCATCAGCAGATGATTATAAACTCATCTGCTGTTTATAATCATCTGCTGATGATGCTAACATGGTTAGCGAAACGCGCGTCCAGTGTAACAGTAAAAGTGTTTTGGTGTAAACAGCAGATGAGTTTATAATCATCTGCTAATGATGCTAACATGGTTAGCGAAACGCGCGTCCAGTGTAAAAGTAAAAGTGTTTTGGTGTATTGTGGTGACTTAGTGTTTTTATTTTGCTGTGTAACACCAAAGGTTCCAACCCTCAACTGCAATAGTCCCAAATAAGTAAAAAATGCTATAGTTGTATTTTTTAAATGGAATACCCTATATATTATTCCATTTTTAAATTGTACCATTGAAATAAAGATAAATTTTATTAAGGTTTATCACACTTAAACCTTACCGTTTTTGAAATATTTTCAATTTTGTGAAATTGCAGTAAAAATTTTAAGGCTTCATTTCTCCAAGGGTATCAATGTTTTTAATACTAAATATTTACTGAAATTTATTTATTGTTCAGTTATTGTGTTACCTTATACAGAGTGTCTAAAATTTTATTTTAAATAATTACTAGCTTTAAACGGCAATAACTTATTTAATTTAAATGGAACCCCCTGTATATTTTAGGAGGATCAGATGCATAATTTAATTGTCTATCAAATAGTATTATACCACTTTTTACCTATCCCTTCAAGTTTTCGTAGAAAATGCATTTTCTTATAATTTAGACCTCATTTATCAATATAACCATGGAATATTAACCTTTTAGATTGTTTTTAAAGCAACAAATGTACAAAATGTACAGGATAGTAATATTATCATTTTTACCAAAACGGTAATATTACTAACCCATTTGCATACAAAAAGAAAACTATTTAAATCTTTACAAAAGAGTTTACCAATAATTAAATATACCACCATTATTTACCCTGTATACACCTGTATACATTAGATAATTACAATTTCCGCCCAAATACTAATTAATTACATACTTAATTATGTTCGTGAATAAATTATTCTAAAGAAATGTGGATTTGAATCAGAAATCAATATAATAATAAGTTATAAAAATGAATGTCTCTGTTGTTACAAATAAGCATTTGTCAAAAAATAAAATATCATTTTTAAGGTGTTTACTTTTTATCACACTGTCACATAAAAAATTCAGTTTTTTAGTTTTTGGAGCAATTATTATTAATCAACGCAAACAGTCAATTAATGTAGTTTAAATACTGGAATCATATTAACTGGTCCTCTTTAACAAATATTTAAACAGTTTTTTTAATGAAATAAACTAACTATATCGACAATATTAGTATCTGTACTCTTTAAAAATTTGGTACATCTTTAAAAATAGTCTAAAATGTCAGTATTCCATGGGTATATTGATAAATGAATTTAAAATTACAAGAAAATGCATTTTCTACGGAAACTTGAAGCTATAGGTAAAAAATGGTATAATACAATTTGATAGACAATTAAATTGTGCATCTGATTCTCATAAAATATACAGGGTGTTCCATTTAAATTAAACAAGTTATTGCCGTTTAAAGCTAGTAATTATTTAAAATAAAATTTTAGACACTCTGTATGAGGTAGTATAATTTTTATTATTGCAACACAATAACTGATCAATAAATAAACTTCAGTAAATATTTAGTATTAAAACTTTGATACCAACTTTGGAGAAATGAAGTCTTTAAAATTTTGACTGCAATTCCTCACAAAATTGAAAATATTTCAAAACGGTAAGGTTTAAGTGTAATAAACCTTTATCAAATTTACCTTAATTTTAATCGTAGAAACTAAAAATGTAACAATATACAAGGTGTTCCATTTAAAAAAATACAACTTTGATATTTTTTATTTATTTGGGACACTCTGTATCTTGTAAAAATATTTTTAAATTGTAGCTCTAATAGTCCTTCAACGAACCCAAAACTTACAATTTGTAAAAATCTAATCGTTTAGCTACAATACTCCGTGTCGTATGTGGTGAACAACCCTGTATACATTAGATAATTACATATTATCTATTTGCTTTAACAGTCTCTGGTTGAAAAATCGACCACCACCATTCCACCACCCCCCATTCCCTTATTTGTTAATTTTTAAAAAAATGTTATTTAAGAAAATATGCTCCCTTTGTGCTAGTTTATATATTTTTGAAGTCAATTTGATCAAACTAGAAGGCACCCTCCCGAGGAAGGGTGCTTTCTCTCTCTTGACTATTCCATAAGTAAAAAGAACGCCGGAAAAGATCAGGCGAATAGCCAAAAAATACATTACAATACAATACAACATTAAAACTGCAATTAAAAGCTTCCTAACAAAATAAACAAGGCCGGAATCATTGAAACAAGAGAAAGAGTGCATCTACCGGTAACTTGTGAATACGATGGGTCGTATATTGGAGAGAATAAACATCCTCTAAATGTACGACTTAGCGAGCAAAAAAAAACATGTACAAGAAGGTGAAACAATGAAGTCAGTTATTGCGGATCATGTTTGGTCAAAACAGGACAATATAAAGTGGTCGGAAGCTCGGGTTGTTCATTGAGAGAATCTCAATGGAAAACGCGTAAATTTAAAGAAGTCGTTTTTATAGCTCACATACTGATCCGTAAGATTTAATCGACAGGTCAAGTCCGCCGGCCAAAATACGAAGGTTTTGGTACATGACAGGCCAATTGGTGACAATAATAACAAATATTTTCCAGAAATCGTGTTCCGTAATATTAAAAATTTCAGGAAAATTATAGAAATGGACCTAAAAACCATAATCAAGGTAAGAAGCGAATAACAGCCTTATAATGAATTGAATCTGCCATTACCTCATAGATTAATGAAACAAGTTTAGACTGGAAAGTGCCCATAAGGACAATGTGAACACTATTTGGCGCTATTCTTACAACGGTCGCGACCCAAAGCTTTTGATAATTTCGGATCGGTTCCGCTTTTTCCGAAATTATGTCGCCAAATATTGTTTATTCAAATTTATTATTATTTTCTTTTAATTTTATAAATAAAATAAAGTGTGTTGCATACAAGAAACATTATTTTATATAATGACATGTATGTGAAATACCTATGAAACATTGGAAACCGACGTTATGCCACGATCCACGATGGTTTTTGCAGTTTACAGTTCACAGCACAGTTTTTCAGTTTTTAATGCCACTTTTTCACAATTATCACCGGTTTGAATAAGTAAAATTTAAATTAAACTCACAATAAGACAGCAAAAATTACTTTGAGAATGGACGCTTTAAACACTTTTTGGTATTTTTTCAATGAGGGCGGTTTAAATTTAGAACGGTTTTATAATTTTTGAAGATTCTGACTTTGGCAAGAAAAAAATATTTCTGTTATTGTTTGCGGTTGTTCTTAGCAACCGCTATAGCAGCGCCAGATCGTATACAACGGTCGCGATCCAAAACAATTATATATTTTGACGGACTTTCCAATCTAAATTTATTTCATTTATCTATGCATTACCTGAACTAATGGCTCGTTCCAGCTTTCCTCTGGCATGATGACAGCTGTTGTGTTCCCGTTTTCGACTTCTGGATCGATGGGTGCAATCGGATGCGTTCGAACTGCGTCTTTTGGGAGCGTTGTACGAATTATAACCTGCGTTATTAGGTAAGTATTGAGCTGAACCACCTGCAAAGAGTCACCGTATGAGTAAAGTAATATATATATATAACAATCTTTGAAGATGTGCAACCTAATGAAATAATAAATACTTACTTATTAACCTTATTGTAGGTAAATTAAATAAAAATAACCTGTTATAAATTAAAATAAAGTCCATAAACTAATGTGGATTTTAAAAATAGCTACTAGGTGTGACTAGAAAATTGCCATGGCGACACCAGCCATCTTGATTACAATTTTATTGAAAAATTGCTTTTTATTCAAAATCTGAGCCAGATAGGCATAGCAAACCCTAATATAGTTTGAAAGAGCATTTACATTTGCTTGGACTTATTTAAAAAAATACATAGTGTTGTATTTGAAATAACGAAGTTTTTATGTAAAATAAATATTTAAAATAGACCAGCAATTTTTGATAACCCCTGTATACATTTAAGGAAGCAATCAAATTTTTTAGTACAGTTTATTTCTCTGGCTTGAAAGTCAGCACATGAATTAATTCTGAAAAGTATATAATGTACAGGGTGTTGACAAACTTTTTTATTATAGCATGCATATTTAAATATCTTTAAATATCTCTAAAAACAAAGCTTTTAAACATATTAAACCCTTATAATAAATGCCTTATTTTATGTCCAAGAATTCAAAAATGAAATAAAATACCGGGTGTTATGTGTATAAGAAAAAATATAACTTTAGTATGGATCTTAGTTCTGACACACCCTGTACATTTCAAAATAATTTTAAATTATGCACGTTGCCTTTCCACCTATAGCCATAAAATATTTTGTTTCTACATCTTTCTGTTTTCGTATAATCAACCGAGGCGTGTATAGTTTCTTGTGTTCGTTAGTGATAAATTCTGTTAAATAAATAAAACTTTAAACTACCCACACGGAACCCAGTAAAAACGTAACATTATAAACATCGTACCAGTTGCATTGTCCCTCAGTCCGTACTGTCCCGGCAATCTAGGCGAACAAGAATGCGAATTCCTGCGGGACGTCCCGCTCTGGTTGTGCTGTTCGTCCTCTTCGATTTTTCGCTGTCGCTTCAGCGGATTTCTGCGTTTGTCTCGCACCCTCAGAGTCACCGATTCGAGATGGAGGTCCATCGCCATCGACCCTTGCGATCCTGTACCCTGTTGCAAAGAGTCGTTGCTCCTAAACAAATTGATAAGAAGAAATGTCACCAGGCACAGTCAGTTGCTGAATAAACGAAAATAGTTATTAGTTATTAGGTATTATCCTCGGGATTACCATTGTACCTTGTGTATAGAATACATACATATACAGGGCGTTTCAAAAAAACTAAATTTACCACAATACACCAATACACTTTACTTTTGCAGTGGACGCGCGTTTGGCTAAACATGTTAACATCATCGGCAGATGACTAAAACTAAACTAATATCTATAAATAGGCGTTCAGTTGGCACTGACCAAGCGTGGTCAAAACCAACGGAGCGTAACAATTATTACCGAGACCAGAGCAATAGAAACAGAGAACTGGAAGGAATTGGACCATTATCTCTGTTCATATTATCTTTAGATTTATTCATTTTGACGCTCTCATATGCATCTAATTGCCTGTAATTTAAGACTTGTTTAATTAATTGCCTCCATGTTGAGCAACGCAAGATTTATCCGGTCTACCATATTTTATTATAAGTTTATAATTGACATTCTTCAATGTCAATTACGAATCAAGAATGTATACAATGAAAATACAATTGCCGTGATGTGTGAAATGCGTGATGTGTGAAAATGTGTGAAAGCGCTCTTAAGGAACATACACGCGTACTCAATAAGTCCTGTTTCTTCTACTATACCTGTAATTAGCTGCTGTCTCATCAACACTAACAGCATGCCTGTGCAGCAACCCCGGATTGAGGAGGGCGCAAGCGGCAAAAGTTCTTCTGGAAGTCTGCCTCCCCATCGCGGATTTTTGAGCATGCTGGAGATGGTTCGGCAGCGTTTCCTTGAGGGAACCCGTAGGAGGTACCTTTTCGAGCACTAAGTCGGGTGCGGATGGACTACGATTTATAGAACCCTGTGGAACCTTGAGCGAATTGCTTCTAGTGCCGCTAGGCGAAGAACCCTTTAAATAAACGAAAATAGTTATTAGTTATTAGGTATTATCCTCGGGATTACCATTGTACCTTGTGTATAGAATACATACATATACAGGGCGTTTCAAAAAGTATATATCATTTCTCGCGGGGAGATTCTTCACGAAAAATAAGACTTATTTTTTATATCAACAAAAGTCCGATTCTGCTTTGTTTCGAAACTACAGGAGGTCTTTATTTTTTAGCCGACCATACCAACAGGTATGGTAGGCTATTAAGATCGACAAAAAAAAGATTTTTTTTAATTTCACTCAAAATGAGTTATTTGGGTCATAAATGACCTAAATACACAATATTGTTGCGGACCCGTACCGTGTGAACTCCGCCTTAGGCTTGGCCACTCGGCTATGACTCATACGCCGGCGACGCCGACCTTCTAGAACGGCTAAGAATTGACTAGACAAATCTGGATTGTCTGTTTCTCTCCTATATAAGCCGGCGCCTGAAGCCTGAAGAGGACAGAGAGAAAGACAACCGGTCGACGCGTACAGTTACAATCGCCGCGCTATATTCAAAATAAATTCCTGTTAGATAAATAGTTAGATAAATTGTAAATAAGTTATAAATAGTTCTTTAAGTCTTTTAATTGTTATTGTTTTTGTTAATTAGTGTTAAATAAATCGTGTTTAAATAAATTGTGACGTTCTATCCACACGGAACCGACGAAAAACCTAACAATATTTTCATGGTGTCTCTCTGTCTGTCTGTCTGTCTGTCCGTCTGTCCGTCTGTCCGTCTGTAACACGATAACTCAAAAACCGCTAAAACGACTTTAACCAAATTTGGCACAAAAATACTGTGGCACCCGAGAATCTGGCCATTAGTTTTTGGTGGGGGTTGGAGGTTGGTAAGGTGGTATGGGAGGGGGTTAAACATTTTAAAAAATCGTAACTCCAAAATTACAGTAGCTAGCGAAACGCGGTTTTCAATGAGGAAAATGCATGTTTTTAAATAATGGTTTTAAAAAATAGTTCATATAATTACAAATTGAACAAAAAAAAATCGTTCATATCGGTTAAGAAATGCCTCTAATATAAAATAATTAAATATTGTTAATTTCAATGGCCGGGCAAACGCTCTCTACCGCGCTTTGCCGCTGTGACGTCACACGCCGTTCTTCTGGTTGAGTGGAGCCAGACGCGTGTTTATTTTACACAGTTTGCTTTTAAACGCTGTTGAATCCGAGTCAAAATTTTAGTTATTTGGGGTAATTAATACATAATTAGTAATTAGTGATATTTATAAATAGTAATGGATGAGCGAAAACAGAAAAAAATGGTCCAAGGCCATGAGAAGAGATGAAAAGAAAAACGTTAAATTATCCTCTATTTTTACGATTTATTGTTGTGAAGATCATTTTGATGTAAGTTCATATATTTATGTATTTTGTCTTACATAGGTATATGAAATTTGAATGTACAGGGTTATTCATTATATTTTGACACCCACATATAGCCTTAACTGCTCTTAAGTTTTAGAAGAAAACATTAAATAAAAAAGTTGCATGGTTTTTCATATACTCTCTTTTAAAATTAATTCTAGATATACAGGGCGTCTCAAAAAAGGTGGTCCAGAAAATTGTAGGTATTTTTCGCTTTTCAATTGTCAATATTTCGTAAACATTTGAAGATAGGTATAGGATATTATACATGAAATATATCTAGAATATCTAGAAACTTCCGAAGAATCCAAAAATATATAGGGTGTTCCACTTAAAAAAGTAACTTAATTTAGGCGTTTGCTTATGGGACACCTTGTATAATATTTTCATTACTGATAATGTTGTAAGGCGGCGTTGATAATGTTGTAATGTTACTGATAATGTTGTAAGGATGAGTCGTTGTAAGGCGGCGTTGACAATTTATTTCCTATAATTTCTTAAAAAAAACAATCTTTAAAAATAACAAAGGTAAGGGGGTGTAAATATATAAAAAAAAACTTTCTTTTTCACGCTATGCTCTGGAGTTACTTTTCCACGTACTAAACAAATATTTTTGTCTCTTTTCATTTCTACATAACATACAGCATTATCTCCATACGTCTCCCTACCTGATCTGAAAAATAAGTTTATAACATTAATATTTATAACTATATAAAAGTTCGTAACAGTAGGTACCTACTTATACTTAAATATGCCTCAGTACTACAAAGAATAAATGTTACATACCTCTCTGTTTTTTTCCTCGTAATTCAGCACCAATAAATTGGGAATTTGTATTTATAAAAGCAGCCAACATAAAAGCATCGACTTTTGGCAAGTTATCTGATTGTGCTTTTACAAACCCGGAATCTGCCATTACTTAAAAAATTCTCAGAACACACAACACATACAAATAATAACTGCACAAAAAAGCATAAAAAGCTCCTTCAATCAACGCTAAAAGCAACAAAAATGTCTTAGTACGCCACCTAAATACGTACATAAACGGAACACGTCTGGCTGCTGCTGGCCATCGCGCGTCGACGAGAACGGCGGGTGACGTCAGACCAATAGAATATCGTTTCAATTCGCGAGGCGTCGTTTGCGTTGTCCATAGTATTTTAATGGCCCGTTTTATAAAATTGTGGTAGGTACTGCTTTCAAGAAAAAGTTTTTTTTGCATTTACACATATTTATTCTAAAAATTTTAAAAAATCGTAACTCCAAAATTACAGTAGCTAGCGAAACGCGATTTTCAATTTAAGATTAGGAATAATATTTGCAACAAAATTTGTAATAACATCAAAATCAGTCAAAGTCGCAGTTTTGAGGAAAAAAACAGGGAAAAATTCCTTTACTTTGAAACTAAAAGAACTGCCTACCAACTTTTTATTAACATATTTTAGAATGGGCGGCTATACGTGCCTCCCGGCGCCAATTTTTTTATTTGAAAAAAGAAAAAAGTTGGTGAGCCACTTTTGAGACGCATCCGGTATATAAAATAATGTTTCTTGAACTTTATATTACCTGTGATATTACCTTTAAAAATGTTTATTTTTGCAAATTAAATTGTTTTGGATTGGACACTTGAATACAGCATAGGAAAATGAAAAGTATAAAACAGGATACGGATGACGAGTAAGTTTATTCACATAAATTCTGAATAAATTTGCTAAGGTGTAGGTACACATAAAATTATAGACCTACTCGCAAATATACGGTATAGAAAAAAAAACAGCGCTCTGTTAGCTTGGAATTGATGTATCATACCTGGAATGCTAGTATCATACCTGTATATTTTTGCGATGGCCTAGTTTTTTCGATTCTAAAGCCAATCCTCTCGAAAACTGTACAAAAGATTGCGTGAGAGCGTGCCTGTCTGAGGCGTGGTGATGACCGCCGTGGTGCCTGTGGTGATCCGAGTGGTGAGTACCGTGCAAACTACCGTGGTGACCGTGGTGTGAACCGCTGGTCATGGTCCCTGAAAATTGATCAGACTAAGAATAGAAATTTTTGATTTAGAAACCCTTTTTTTCATACTAAGGGCTGCTAAAGGTTAGTCTTGGGTCGAGATTTCCGTATGTAAGAAGAGTACAATGCGTTTTATAATGTACCGAACAAAGAGAGAACAGTAAACACGTTGCCAAACGCATGAAATAAACTGAAAACTGTGCGCATTAAGAGACGTGGAAGGGGATACAGCAGATTTGTCGCAGTCGGGCGGCCGACCCAATCAGATTCGCGTCTATATCCCACACCTTTTCGTATATATTTTGCACGATAGTTTGACTATATACTATAAGTGCATGCGTTCTCAATAGGCAGTGTTGCCATTCTGTTCCCCTATAAGTAACTGTCCAGTTAACAACCTCTATACACGAGCGTAAACGAGTCCCAATCAGTACCTCTGTCAGTACTTAAAGTTCTAGGGAAAGGTGTACATGATGCGTTTAGCTTCACGATTTAATTACGTTTCGTGATACTTTATTTCTTTATTTATTAACGAGTCGTTGTAATTTTCCCTATCTAGTTATCTTTTCGAAAAAAAGTTTAAAAATAAGCGGGTTGCGATCGTGATTTTACTTTACTTGATAAGGAAAGGCGTACCGGCAACGCCGCAACAGCACATCGTCGCATTTCTCTCACTCCGACTTAATAAGATCCCTATGCGATTTAATTCCACACTTGTAAATACCGACACAAAAGTAACAGTTGCCAGCACGGTATAACACAAAAACTAAATGGTATTCCATATTTGGATACTTTCCTCTACTACTGTACATATTTAGATTTTAGTTTGTTTTTACGCTAGTGATTACAGCTGATAAATATTCGAATTTCTTAAATTTATTGCCAATCGAAGGCAAAATATAGAATATAGCCATCACTATTTCAATCATTGTTGATGGCTCTGTATTTACCTGCAGTTTGAGATCCGGCAGTTCTTAAAGATCCATGTCCCGATCTAAGGGTAGAGCTATGAGGACATACACCAGGTGGCGGTCCGGTAGTACTCATTTTGAACCGGGCCGGTACTACTTTGGCAGCCGAATCTCTTGCCTCGAATGTCATGACGCAAGCAGCCACCACTATAAACCCTAAAAGAAACATTTTCTTACTGTACCATTTACTTATATCACTATGAACACACTGAATACAGAATCAAAGTACCATACGATCGAAAAAATTCGCCGTCAAAGATTTAGTAGACTTCAGTGATGCAAAATATGAATAACTTTCCCATTTATCGAGATTACCTCTTACATCTCCACTGTATATCTTTATTTTTTTTTTCTTAACACTGAGCTGAAGTATATACAGGGTGGTCCGAACTATATTCCGGAAACTTCGGCAGCATATTCTACAGATAAAAATAAGTAAAAATGTTCTATAAACGTATGTCCTAAAATGCTTAGTTTTTTGTGATTCAGGGTGTAGAAGTTTCATTTTTATTTCGATTTTTTTCAAATCATTTCTGAAGTAACGTCAATATTGGATGAAAATTGATCTCTGGGAGTTTTTTGACATGATAAATTTGATTTATATCTCAGTATGACTCCTACTTGTAGAGGGTATCGCCTATATATTTTTTGACTGGTGTGAAGGGTAATAATAACTTTTCGTTCGTACCTGTATAAAACTACTGAGCACAAAAATATACATTTACGACTTTTTTACGTAAAAAAGGTCTCTTGGTAAAAATCGCTACGAGTAATGGTTCTCGAGACATTGGGAATCGAAATTATCAATACCTGTCATCATTGACATAAATGAAACATATTGACTTAATAGTTATTAAACTGAAATCATAAATTTGAAATGATTTTGTGTCAAATGTTCAACAGAAACTGTTTTATCATCATTTTGAAGAAAAAATTATGAATAATTTAAAAAAAGTAAAAAGTGTCCAAATTTAACATTTCAGTCAAATAACTATATATCTACTCAACATTTTCATTTTTTTATCAATAATGACATGTATTAACTACTTCCATTCTAAATATCTTGAAAACGGTTGCTCGTAGCGATTTTCACCAAGAGACATTTTTTACGTAAAAAATCACGGAAATGTATATTTTTTCACTCAGTAGTTTTATACAGATTCGGACGAAAAGTTATTACTCTTCAAAACAGGTAAAACACATGTAGGTGGCGCCCCCTACAAATAGCAGTCATATTGACATCAAAATCAAATTTCTCATGTCAAAAAACTTCCAGACACCAATTTCCATCCAAATATTGACATTACTTCAGGAATTATTTCGAAAAAATCTAAATAAAAATGAAACTTCTACACCCTGTATCTCCGAAACTAAGCAATTTAGGACATACATTTATACAAACCTTTTTACTTATTTTTATCTGCAGAATATGCTGCCGAGGTTTCCGGAATACAGTTCGGACCACCCTATAGAATTATTTATTCGCATTTTAATATCACACAAAACATTATATTCATTTATTATTAATAATTGTTGATTGAAGGACACGTATGTCTAAACAAACAATTTCATAATAACAAGTTTTTACAGTAAATCAAATTAACTAAAATGTGAAAAATAATTTTGAATTCTCAAGAAGTTAATAATATTTTAATAATACCCCCTCGTAACAAACTGTAAAACATCCTAAACCTTTTATTAATTACTTTAAAATTAAAATTAAAGAAAAAATCAATTAAATTAGTATTAATATGGGTAGTAAATTTACTGAAATTTAAATATTATTTTTGTACACATATTAGAATAAAATTAGATAATAAAGTAAAGATTTAAACTTTTAATTTCTAAAAATTCAAATCTAAAATATCATCGATTTTATTAGACCACCTCCTATCAAGCCTCCATAGCTCAGGGGTTAGAGCACTGGTCTTGTAAACCAGGGGTCGTGAGTTCAATTCTCACTGGGGGCAATCTTTTTTATTTTTTTTTCTTGTTGAGTAATAATTATAAAAATGTTATTTATTGATTTTTTTACTTACCTCCCACTCCCATAACGATAGGACCGGCATAAGACAAATTGTTCAAGTGGAAGCCTCTCGATTCGTTTTTTATCGCTACTGTATGATTTCCTCGGATTTCTTGAGCAACTGACAATTGATCAGCGTAGTAACCTACAGATAATATAAAAAGTGCTAATGATATGCACATTTAAAGTACCGTACGATCGAAAAAAACGGCGTCTAGTTGGCTTGGAAATGACGATCGATGACTTTTCCCATATAAGTAATTTTACATAAAAAATGACAGCATCTTCATTTCATAGCCATCGCTGACGCCGTCTTTTTTTCGATCATATTGTATCATAAGACCACAGATACGACCATCCGAAAAAAAAACGGCATCAGAGATGGCTTGAAAATGATCGCTGTCATTTTGGATGTAAAATTAAAAGGGGGTATATTATCGATGGCGTCATTTCCAAGCCAAATAGACGGCGTTTTTTCGATCTTACGGTACTTGTTCTTATACGTAGTATATGATGAATCAAAAACTTATTATTTTTACATTATACAGTTGTATTTTAATTGTAATAGAGTATACAGGGTGTTTCAAAACCAATGCGAACAAATTTAAATGATTATAAATCTTTAGCATAAATCAACCTTAAAAGAGTATTGTTTTAATTTAATTTAATTTAACCAGAGATGATTTTGTTTTCCTTGTGTTCTCTTAATAAAATCAACTTGTGCAGCTTTTAATATTCACATATGGTTTATTTGAAATTGTAACAATGCGGTTCATAACGACTATTTGACTCGAAATACCAAGTGTGTGGTACCAAATTATTCATAAAAAATACTTTTTCCAAATATGCTAATGAGCCACCCTCGTGCCATTTGGAAACATAAGATATGATTAAAAATACGATTTGTGTATCTTTTAAACCGGCTAGGACAAGACACTAAAAACATTAGACGATCAAATCTATTTTTCCAAGGCTCCTTGACTAAAAATTACTGTTTCAACACAGCCATGGCACTCTAGAAATATGTAAAATACAATTTTTTAAGCGAAAATGCCTAAAGTTGACATATGATATGTCATTCTATTCAGAGTGTCATTTTTTCTCGAATTTAACTTGAACAAAAAAAAAGTATAAAAATACCGAGAGTGCCATTTAACGATCAAACGTTGTAGTCATTTCCGGTGAAACAGGAAGCGACTGAAAATAATTGAATACGTCAATCAATACTAATTTATGTCATATACTAGCATGTCAAATCTCGTTTTTTTATCTGAAAAAATAAAAAAAGTTACAGGGGTGAGCTACTTTTAATACGCACTCGGTATACTGGATGTTTTGATGTTGTTTTATAAGTGTTTTCAGCACTTTTAAAAAAAATAACCCCAAATCCATGCGTAGCATCTTTAGTTTCATAAAAAGTATCCTTGTCCCTTATTTACTCAAAAACGAGAAACTCTATAAAACACACGAAAATGAGACACTCTGTACATTCTTATACAGGGTGTGTCAAAATACGTGCCACGTCTTATGGGGAGATTCCTCGCGTAAAATAAGATTTATTTTTCATATCAACATAGGTCTGATTCTGCTTTGTTTCGTAGCTACAGGATGTTAAAGTATTGTTACGGATTCCGTGGGTCCACTATTTAAACTCACGATAAAATACTTAACGAATTTATTTGTTTCACTCTGTACACACAACTTATACTATTTACAACACAACTTATGCAACTAGTATTACTCTAACGGTATTTCGCGGTATTATTCAAACTTTCAGACTATCTTCAGACTTTAGACTTCAAACTTGTCCAACTGTCAAAGCGCGGGCCTTATATACCCCCTGGCGGTTGTTTCTAGATTTTTCTATAGGAATTCATAATTTTCTTTACTTTCTGGCGAATCCGCCAGGTTCCTCAATGCACGTTGCGATTTTTTAGCAGTATGCAGTTATGCAACCAGTAATACACCTTGACAGTATTAATTTTTCGATATATTTTTAATCTTCCAAGTACTTTTTAGTGATTCGAATGAAATTTTGAGGGTAAAAGTTATATATACAGAGTGGTCCGAACTGTATTCCAGAAACTTCGGTAGCATATTCTGCAGATAAAAATAAGTAAAAATGTTCGTATAGATGTATGTCCAAAAATGCTTAGTTTCGGAGATTCAGGGTGTAGAAATTTCATTTTCATTTCGATTTTTTCCAAATAGGTAATTTCTGCAGTAACGTCAATATTTGGATTAAAATTGGTGTCTGGGAGTTTTTTGACATGAGAAATTCGATTTTGATGTCAATATGACTCCTACTAGTAAAGGGCGCCACCTACATATTTTTTAACTGGCTTGAAGAGTAATAACTTTTTGTCCGTACCTGTATAAAACTACTGAGTAAAAAATATACATTTACGACGCTTTTTACGTAAAAAAGGTCTCTTGGTAAAAATCGCTACGAGTAATGGTTTTCAAGATATTTGGAATCGAAATTATCAATACCTGTCATTATTGACATAAATTAAACATGTTGACTAAATAGTTATTAGACTGAGATCATAAATTTTAAATGTGTTTGTACCAAAAGTTCAACAAAAACTGTTTTATCATCATTTTTTGCAGAAAAAAATATGATTAATTTTAAAAAAAAATCCCAAATTTATTATTTCAGTGGAATAACTAGGTATTTATTTTTCTTTAATAATGGCACGTATTAACTACTTTCATTCTAAATATCTTCAGAACGGTTGCTCGTAGCGATTTTTACAAAGATAAGATATTTTTTACGTAAAAAATCACAGAGATGTATATTTTTTCCATCGGTAGTTTTATACAGGTACGGACAAAAAGTTATAACGATTCAAAACAGTCAAAACACATGTTTGACTGTTTTGAACATGAATGAACACACAAAATCAAATTTCTCATGTCAAAAAACTCCCAGACACCAATTTTCATCCAAATATTGACGTTACTTCAGAAATTATTTAGAAAAAATCGAAATAAAAATGAAACTTCTACACCCTGTATCTCTGAAACTAAGCATTTTAGGACATACATTTATACGAACTTTTTTACTTATTTTTATCTGCAGAATATGCTTCCGAAGTTTCCGGAATACAGTTCGGACCACCCTGTATATATATTTTAATGCTAAAAAAGTGTCTATAAATTCATTAGGGACGTGCATATGGGTTATCACTGGATTTTTTTTCAAAAAAAAAACATGTGTGCCACTGACTTTTTTCTCTTAATATCAAAATTGCGTAGCCCGTTTAATGCCAGTTAAAAGTGTTAATATTTAACTCGATGGTGTTAATCATATCATATTGTTACGTTTTTCGTCGGTTCCGTGTGGATAGAAAGTCACAATTTATTTAAACACTATTTATTTAACACTAATTAACAAAAACAATAACGATAAAAGACTTATAGAACTATTTACAAACGATTTATAACTAAGAATTTATTTTGAATTTTAGCGCGTCAACTGTATATTTATAACTGCCCTCTCTAGGCCACTGCCGCCGGCTTTTATACCGACAGGTAAAAGAAATCTAGAATAGTCCATAGATCGTTAGGCGCATAGAGAAGGTTTTCGAATGTTCTCGTATGTACTAGTCCATTCTAGTGGGTCTCGATTCTTCTCGAACGAATGAATCATTGCGGTGTCTATGCGATGTTAAGGTCATCCGAGGGCGGGCCATATTGTGAGGTTAGGTCGAGTCCACACCGGCTCGCAACAATATGCACGTCCCTGGTAAATATGTCGACACTTTTTTAGCTTTAAACTATGTCGCGTTTATAGTAATAACCTTTACTCTCAAAATTTCATTCGAAACGCTAAAAGTACATGGAAGAAAATTATAATAAATCGAAAAAATATTAAGACTTTTAACACCCCGTAGCTACGAAACAAAACAGAATCGGACCTATGTCGAAATAAAAATAAATCTTTTTTGTGATAAATCTCCCCCACGAGAGATAGCACATGTTTTTTAAAACACCCTGTATGAGGTACTTTGTTAAATAAGAGGCATTATTACCTATGGTAGCCATGGCAGCACCAAGTACCATCAGCAGTAGTCCCAAGCTTAGGGCTTTGCAGGCGTTCCATAGACACTTTCCGTTAACTTTTCCCCGCACGACTTGTACGTTCCACTGGGCCCCCGAAGCCGGATGGGCTCTTCGTACCACCTCGGAAGTACCGCCCCTGGTCCATCCTGCTGACATTAGGGCTCCCCTACTTGCTATACTCATTGTTACGACTCCTGCAACTTAGATTTTCTACGGTATTTATCAAAAATCGGTCACTATGAGTATTTGAGATCTATATACAGTATGTTCACGGATTGTCTTTACAAGAGGAAAAACTTTTTTATTATTGACATTTTGAGATTTTCATTCTTTATAAAAAAAAATGCTTCTTCTAAAATGGTTAATCCCGTTTATACTTTTCCAAATTTCCATATCGTTTGAGGGAAAATTAAAGAAAACCTGAAAATATGGTTGAACTTTTTTTTCTTTTTTTGATTTTTTTTCCCTTAAAATCAAAACGCGTCTCTATGGTAATACCGTATGATCGAATAAAAACGCCGTTAGCGATGGTTATGAAATGAAGATCGCTGCCATTTTATATGTAATACTATAGCGTGTAGCCTCGAGTTCGTTCGCGTCGAATTAATCATTTGTAATGGTGATGATAAAGCAAAGCAAGAATTTCCATTAACATACAAACTCGATAAAATTTTCTCACATTTATGTCAGCATTCAGCATGAGAAAAAACAATATGGCGATATTATTATATTTTGGCAGTTACTATATAAATATGAAAGATTAAAATCATTTTCACCCCATTTCACCTCCTTAGGGGTAGATTTGAAAAAAGTACTGCGATAACAAAAGAGATATAAAAAGTTACTGAATAGCCTTATTTAAGTACCTGTTTGTAAACCACGTTTTTTGTTGCATTTTCTGGCTAAAATAGCCAAGCTATTACGCGAATTTAAGCTGAATCGTGGTTAATCAATTACCCAACTTTTTGGAACACCGTGTATGATTTTTTAAGAAATTTCAAAATATGTAAAAGAAACAAAATAAATTATGCGTATCCAAGCGTTTTCTCGAAAGACTAACTGTTTTTTAAATAACAAATATTGTAATATTTGAAGGGCGTTTTCACCCTCTTGGAATTTGAGATTCGAGAAGCCCTTCCTGATTGAACCTCTATACCTCACGATCAATCCCTTTGCCAAAAATCAGTTTTAAACGTCAAGCAGTTTAAGCAGAATCGTGATTAGGTACTCATTTGTCATATTTTATGAAACCCTGTATAAATTTTTAAAAAATCTTATAATATGTAAAAAAATTAAAATATACGTGTTTAAGCGTTTTTTTCGGAAACTTGACCGTTTTTTAAATAAAAAATTTTGTAATATTTGAGGGGTGGTTTTACCCCCTTGGAACTGGAATTTCGAAAAATCCCTTCTTATCGAACCTCTACACCCTCGAATCAACCTGTATGCCAAAATTGAGCTTCTTACGTTGAGTGGTTTGAGCAGGATCGTGATTAATCAGTCAGTCACTTAAAGATTTTATATATTAGTATAGATTATATGGGAAATCCATACTATAACCACTATCGTCATTTCATAGCCATCGCTGACGCCGTTTTTATTCGATCATACGGTATAATGTCGTGTTGATTCATTGATGCGATTGTTATTGTTATTGACAGAATTTTAATTAACGTCATATTTTTTGCTGTTTTAAAACATTAAAAAAGCACCAAATTTATATTATTATAAGAAAATGTGAGACTTTAACAACAGCAAAACATTTTTTATTATTTTTTTGGATAATAGATTTTAATCAAAAGTAATAATAACCATCTATGAAAGAATGAAATCGTTAGTTAGTTAACTAACTAGTTAACTAACGTTAGTTAGTTAGTTAGTTAGTAAGTTATATTATCACAGAAACGCTTTTTGATTTTTAGTACCGTATGATCGAAAAAAAAACCGGCGTCAGCGATTGCTGTGAACATCTCTGATGACATTTCCCATATATATTTACATATAAAATAATAGCGATCTTCATTTCATAGCCATCACTGACGCCATTTTTTTCCAACATTCTGTACTTAGAAAAAATTCAACTATATTTTCATGTTTTTTTTTCATTTTCTCTAAAACGGTATGGAAATTTGCAAAAGTATAAACGGCATTAACCTTTTAGCCTTTTAGATCAAGCAACTTTTTTATGAACAATGAATTTTTCTCTAAATGTCAATAATAAAAAAGTTTTTCCTCTTGTAAAACCAATCTGGGGTTAAAATGTAAATAATTAAAAAAAAAATAATATTAAAAAACATAATATTATGTTTATACCTGACTTACTTTTTTAAAGCAACCCGTATGCTCTAAAATATTTTTAAATGTAAGTACAGTTTCATTGCATTAAATTTAATATTTTTTCGTAGGTAATTCGCAAAGAGGGTCTTTATCTTTTACTGACCCTGTAGATTCATCGTTTATTATTAAAATTTTTGTGTGAATGAAATTTCAAATTTCATATATTTAATATGCCCTTCATTAGAATAGATCCTGTATTTATTAGAATATATCCTGTATTTGAATATAATAAATCATACAAAGAGGCGCGCATATAATATAATAAAAAATACCTTCTTAAAAGCGATATGTCCAACAATCTTTCACTTTCTGTTTTCACTCCGTTTCTACATGTTGAACGCCACATAAATCTGGAAGCAACAATTATGACTACATAATTATATAGATATTTTTAAGGGATGAAAATATGTTACAGACAGCATCTTTTCTTTGGGAAACCCTTGTAATCATGCGCCATGATCTGATATCTATTATCGACCTTTTACAGGGCGGTTTTATGTTTTATTGTTTAATATATCTTAATTAGTGCAGTCTGTAACTGGAATTTTACATTCAGAATCATCAAAATATTTATAATTTTACGTTAAATGTGTTATAATATGTTAAAGTCTCGTATTAACTCAGTGAAAGTAAAAAATAGTACTAATACTAAGATTACGATTTCTGTTTTATAAGCTTCAAAGCGGTTTATTTATAAAATTTAAATGAATTTGTTCAGTTGTTATTAAAATAGTTATTAAAAATTAATTAAGAAATATGAGATGAAATTTTCTTTAACGTATAGGCAACCAAGAATACGCTCTGTTTAAATTTCGACGTTGTCAAATGTCCATAATTTTCTGAATATGTTAAGAATATTATTGGGGCTTTACAAGACTCTCAGAATTTTTTTTTGTAGTACGATGTCATCTTCGAAGACAGCATTGTGAGAAAAATTAAGCTGATATTCAAGAACATTAAGTTGAAAAATAAAAATACAAACTCTCAAAATATCCATGCAGTACCCCCGTAATAATAACATAAATATTTTCGAATTTGTTTACAAAACAACGATTATAACACGTTTATGTTATCCTATGTTAAAAAAGCTTTCTATTCCAACATCGTACAATAATTAAGATTTCCTTAAAACGAAATAAATTACTTTCAAATTGTTTGACTTTGTTTAACTTCGAATCATTGATATCTAAACAATACAAAAAACTAGTTATTTCAATTTCAATTAAATCCTTATTAAAGCGAATATTCTGGAAAAAGTAAAATTTATTTTATTCCTACAAGATCTACAAGAAATGTGTCTGAACATTCTGGCAACGTTGTTAAAGTCACGGAGGTCTGACATTTAAAAATCAGCTGCGTAATTTTTGGTACGACTGCGCTCTAAAATCGTACCATTTCTCGATTTCCCATTGGCCAGCCAGTTCTGTTTTGCTTCCATTTGTGTGTGATTGTTCTGTTCCAGATCAAAATAAAAACATATTCTTGTGAAACAGCTTTCAGAAAGCGGTTCGAAACGTTTGCTTGCTGTTGAATTTACGGGAAAAGTAGTTAAGATGAGTGCTAAGAAGAAAGATTTAGAAATCGTGTACAGTCTGAAATGGAAAAACAAGCCAAAACGCGAAGACAAAGAGATGTCCATTGTGGCTGTTTACGATATACCAGCTACGACATTGAATTTCGAAGTGTTTAAAAGCTATTTGGTAAGTGTTTTTTGGATTATTTCATGTAAATATCGAAGTTCAGACGGTTTGCATTGTTTTACGCTGTATCATTGTGGCAGTGTCGTGGTATTTTACCGGAAAACCATCGTAATTTTACATTACACAATACAGTACTTTCGGCCATATTGGCAACTTGAAATATTTCGTAATGACTTTGTTAAATGTTTACTTACTTTCCTTTACTAGTGATTTTTTTCGGATGATAAACGAAAACGGACCTTTGATCCTATGACTAATATACTAAGTAGTTAAAATATCTCAATACAAAAGGGAACGTTGTAAATAATTATGTACCAAAAGTTAGGGGAATCACCGACCAAATGCAAACGCCATAAATTATCGCAACGTTAATTTTTTTCAGCTAAAGAATTCCGGTACTTCTGAAAATGACGTCAGAGTTTCCTACATCATGGACAAAGGAAAAGAGTTCCCTATCCTGTCCCAAAGTGACTTTCAAGCGGCACTTTTCGCCTTCAGACGTAGGTTTATTTTTAAAAAACATAATACCTTATGATTGAAAAAAAACGTCGTCAGCGATGGCTATAAAATCAAGATCACTGTCATTTTATATGGGGAATATCATTGATTATCATTTCCAACTGGACGCCGTTTTTTTCTCGATCATACTGTATATTATATCTAAACCAATTTAATAACACAGTCTGAAGTCTAATTTCCATTAAAATATTCTCTAGGCAAAGCCAGATCAGGAGAAATCATCAATTTACTGTTGGAGAGGATTTCTGATCAACCTGTCCATAAAAATCTGCGCCATTCCAACGACGTCGAAACTCAATTTGATAACATAGAGCCGAGCTCTATTGTTTCTACTTGTTGTAACATTGATTCGCCCCCAGAATGGTTTCTTAGTTCTATTGCTCAGGTAAGAACATAACTATCAACTTTATTTATTTAATTAATTAATTTATTTATTTATTTAATCTCCAGCAAACACATTTGACAAATGTAGTTACATGATAGATGATTAAAAGTAATTTTGTTGTTTTTTTTTTAATTTTATGTATATTTCGTCAGTTTTTTTATTTACCTGATGTAACGTTTTTTTGGGGGAGGTTTATTGATCTGTACCCAGTTTTAACTTATTTATAGCCTGTTCTGAAAGAGAATGTGTTATTTTGACAGATGTCATTCAAAAATGACAAAAAGGAGTAAAAAATGTGAAAATAATTTCTTTTAACATTTATTTACTTTTTACTAGCTTGATTTTTATTCAAATATAACTAGATAATTATTTATGTTTGCTCAAGTTCAGTTTTTCTCACAAGTTTGAGATAAGTTGCATAGAATTCTAACTTTTCAAACATATAAAACCATCTACAGTAAGCTATAATGTAACAATACTACTAAAAATAGATTATTATTTGCACAATGACTCAATACAAATAAAAAGATAATTTACAATATAACAATATCTTTTTTATCCTATTTTGAGGTAAATAATTACTTTACTATTATACTGTCATACATTCATTATTTGTTATTAATTAATAATGGTTTTTACATTACTGCTACTTTGTTACATATTACTACTACATATTATAGTATAATACTACTTTTTTATAAAATTAAAGATGCTACACACAGATTTGTCATAGCCCTCTTAGTTCCTGAAATACAGGGCGAATTTTAAAATGTTGTATTTTTTGACCCGCTTTGTATCTTGGTTATCTTACAACATATTGAAAAGATAAAAACTGAGTCTTGTCATTTTCAAAATATGTCCTATATAATATATCTTTATTTTACTTGCCTTATTATGAGCTTACTAAAAATATATATTCTATACTTATTTTCATAAGTAAGGTGAAAAAAATGCATTATTTAACCGGATAATTTTATCTTAATAAACTGCACTGAAAACGAAGTTGTGCAGATTTTGGATAACACCCTGTCAATCAAAGTTATTGATATTTTTGATGCACTTGTGCAATAATTCTACACACAAAAATTAGCTAATAAACAAAATTTGACATGAAATAAATTGTTTTGTTAAAAAATTAAATAAAGAATTTTTTACCTTATTTATGAAAAAAAGTATAGAGTATAGTACATTTTTAGAAACCTCGTAACACGAGAAACAAAATAAAAATAATATACAGGGTATTCTATTTAAATATAAGTTTGGGTCATATTTCAAGAATGACAGCTTCCAGCGAAAATCTTGTTACTCCATTAAATTCTACGTGAAAAACTCTATAGGAAATACTTTTCACCTTTTCAATAAGTTATAAGATAACCGAGATACGAGGGGAGTCGAAAAATACAACAATTTCAATTTCGCCTTGTATTTCGGAAACTAAAAGAGTTAGGACAAATCTGTGTGTAGTATCTTTAGTTTCATAAATAACTAGCAAAATAATGTGAAAACTGCATCTTTGTACCTCTACTCATAAAGAGAACCCCCATAAAACACACGAAAATGGGACACCCTGTACATTATTTTAGATTCTGAAGATGATTCTGAATCAATAGGTATATTATTATTTTTTTATTTATTTATTGATCAATAGTAGGGGAAAAAGTATCTATAAAGGTTAGGTACAGGTACATATACCGGGTGCGTCTCAAAAGTGGCTCACCCCCTATAACTTTTTTATTTTTTCAGATAAAAAAAACAGATTTGGTACTTTAGTAAATTGCATAAATTAGGATTAATTGACGTATTCAATTGTTTTCGGTCACTTCCGGTTTCACCGGAAATGCCTACAAATTTTGATTTTTAATGTCACCCTCGGTATTTTTTTACTTTATTCGATAGAAAACGACACTCTGAATAGAATGACATATCATATATCAACTTTCGACATTTTCGCATATGGTTTATTTGAAATTGAAAACTGCGGTTCATAATGACAATTTTACTCGAAATACCAAGTGTGTGGTATCAAATTATTCTTAAAAAAATGCTTTTTCCAAATATGCTAATTAGCCACCCTCGTTCCATTTAAAAAAATTGAGATATGATTAAAAATACGATTGGGTATCTTTTAACCGGCCATGACAAGACACTAAAACATTAGACGATCAAATCTATTTTTCCAAGGCTCCTTGATTAAAAATTGGTGTTTTTAACACATCCATGACACTCTAGATTGAAATTTAAATGTAATTTGTTTTTGAGCGTATATGTCAAAAGTTGACATATGATATGTCATTCGATTCAGAATGTCATTTTCTATCGAATAAAGTAAAAAAATACCGAGGGTGCCATTTAAAAATCAAAAGTTGTAGTCATTTCCGGTGAAACAGGAAGTGACCGAAAACATTTGAAAACGTCAATGAATCTTAATTTATGTCATATACTGACATAACAAATCTCGTTTTTTTATTTGAAAAAATAAAAAAGTTATAGGGGTGAGCCACTTTTGAGACGCACCCGGTATATACAATATAGTAATAACTGAGGATTAGAAATTGTCAATAATGGTCTAAAATGGTCTATCTAATAGTACGAGAGCTAGCAACGTCGGGAAAACAAGTATTTTAAGAAATCTGGCTCTTTGATACATCTTTTACTATGCTCTCTGGAACAGCATGCGGGCCGTCTGGCTGCCGATACACGTTGCGTTTACTACTGCGCATCGGAAGAAGATCTTATATTTTTTTTATTTAGTCCGTTAAATTCTAGTATTGAATATAAATCGAACAAGTCTCCATAGCGCGGCGCGTAGAGGTTCCGCCTATGAAGCGAGGAGTCGGAGTTCGAGACCGGCTCGGGGTATAAAATTTTTTTATTTTATTTTCGTTTATATTCTGATAGTAAAGTATTAAATAATTCTGGTGACTTAAAAAACAAATATTTAATGCTTTACTATCAGAATGTAAACGAAAATAGAATAAAAAAGTTTTATACCCCGAGCCGGTCTCGAACTCCGCTTCATAGGCGGAACCTATCGACAGCCAGACGGCCCGCATGCTGTTCCAGAGAGCATAGTAAAAGATATATCAAAGAGCAAGCTTTCTTAAAATACTTTCTCGAAAACGTTGGTAGCTTCTAGACTATAATAGGAACGTCTATTCGCAGATATTATGCCAGAGACGTACCTTACAATTTAATATTCTTAAAATTACTGTTCAATATCGGATGACAATGCTTCGATAAAATGGTCACTAAAGTCTCGACGATGGTATTGTTTGAATAGATGCAGACGAGATTAAATAAAAGCTATATTGTTTTATGATGGGAATTTCCCACCTACTGCTAATAAAATTTATAATTTCTGCGAATATTGTTGGGTCGTTTATGATTTTAAGGGTTAAATTGTCTTTATTGCTCTTTATGATTTAAAATTACGGATCTAGTATAATTAAACGTAGGCAGCGTTACAACAAGGTATACCGGGTGTTTTTCAAAAGTGGCTCGCCCTTATATTTTTATTTTAGTTTTTCGGACAAAACGAGATTTGGTATGTTATGACATATTCAATTGTTTTCGGCCCACTTCCTGTTTCTTTAAAATTCCACCTCCTTAAAATTTAGAAAATTTTAAGCAGGACTAACCATTTTAGAACAAGCAAAAACTTTTATAAATAATGCATTTTTCTCAAAATCTTAATAAAAGTTTTTCCTCTTGTAAAGACAATCCGGGGACATACTGTAGATAGAAATTTAACCCACAACTGGCGTGGTGAATTTTTGTATCGCTTATGGCGTTCTGGGGTCCGATGGAGCCCAATTTTTTTTTTTCAGTTAAAAATAAATTATGAAGAGATTTTATAAAGTTTGTTATTTTTACACTGTTTACAATATATTCAAACTTGTGAACAAACAATTTCATTCATTTTCAATAAATTAATAAAAACGAACACAAAAATATAGTAAAACGCGTTTTTTAAGGAATTTTTGACAACAGAAATATAACTTGGCCAAAAAACCCATAGAAATTAAAAACATATATTTTATGATTTTCTCGTATTATTGAAAGTACAAACAACTGAAATGTGAAGCTAAAGATTACTTTAGCTTCACATTTCAGTTGTTTGTACTTTCAATAATACGAGAAAATCATAAAATTTATGTTTATTAAAACATAAATTATTTTCAACAAAACTGCAAACCTAGAATGTACACAAGTTTTTCAAATACACTTCATGCTAACTGCTGATCTGCAGTTGCCGCACATGGATCGTGCACATTCGATTCATGAGATTTTTGTTTTTTGTCATTTCTCCGTTGGCATATACCACATATCTTTTGTTTTTGGTATTGATTATTCACTTTTCTCTCTTCTATAAGTAAGAGATTCAGAATCGGAGTTATGGTTACTCTTCGGAGAAAAATCAATGTCTCGATGATATTCATATCACCTAAGTCTCTTTAAGTTCAGCAAACCACTCAATTAATGCTTCCTCAAAATTAGCGCCCCCGTGACGCACACTTTTTGGACTATCCACCATCCTAATAATGAAACATTCTTGGCGTGGTGGTGCCACGCAGACCCTAAGAAACTTTGCCTTCCGCTGGTAGGAACAATACTTGATAAAAACAAGTGCGCCTTTAACAGTTGCATATGGGTACCCTAACTTAAAGGTAAATGGCGCTGCGAGGCCTAAATGTTAAAAGTAAAAATTTTACGTAAATTTAAATAGTGCTTGGGGTCCGCTAGACCCCACCACGCCAGTTTAGGGTTAAAATCCTATTTTTTTAAGCGAAAGTGTCAAAAGTTGACATATGACATGTCATTCTATTCAGAATGTCAAAACATCGGGGGTACTATTAAAAAAACAAAAGTTACTTGTTTCTGGCGAAACAGGAAGTGACCGAAACTAATTGAATAAGTCAATCAAACCTGATTTATGTCATACCAAATCTCGTTTTTAGCCGACCATACCAATAGGTATGGTAGGCTATTAAAATCAGCAAAAAAGTTTTTTTTAATTTGGGTCATAAATGACCTAAATACAAAATATTTTCAAGGTGTCTGTCTGTCTGTCTGTCCGTCTGTAACACGATAACTCAAAAACCGCTAAACCGACTTTAACCAAATTTGGCACAAAAATACTGTGGCACCCGAGAATCTGACCATTAGTTTTTGGTGGGGGTGGGGGGTTGGTAAGGGGGTATGGGAGGGGGTTAAAAATTAAAAAAAAAATCGTAACTCCAAAATTGCAGTAGCTAGCGAAACGCGGTTTTCAATTTAAGATTAGGAATAATATTTGCAACAAAATTTGTTATAACATCAAAATCAGTCAAAGTAGCAGTTTTTGAGATAAAAAAATTGAAAAAATTCCTTTACTTGGAAACTAAAAGAACTGCCTACCAACTTTTTATTAACATATTTTAGTATGGGCGGCTATACGTGCCTCCCGGCGCCAATTTTTTTTTATCTGTAAAAATAAAAAAAATATAGAGATGTGATACTTTTGAAAAACACCCGGTAATAAATAAATAACACGGCTATAGTAAACGCCACGAATGTTTGGGAGTGATTCATCGGTCGCTACCATGTGAACTAATCTGTTCAAGGTCACATAAAATTTAATTCCAGTGCCGTGGTGTTTCAGGTCATATAATAATCAATATATAATCTGTTGTAATTTGTTGTTTTAACGGTCAAAGTCTTGTCAAAACATATATTTGGTTATAAGTATTGTTGCGGACCCGTGTGGACTCGACCTAACCTAACTATATGTCCCGCCCTCAGATGACCTTAACATCGCATTAAAGAATAGACACAGTAATGATTCATTCGTTCGAGAAAAATCGAGTCCCACTGGAATGGACTAGTACATACGAGAACATTCGAAAACCTTCTCTACGCACCTAACGATCTATGGACAGGGGGCAGTTATAAATATACCAGTTGAGTTGACGCGCTAAAATTCAAAATAAATTCTTAGTTATAAATCGTTTGTAAATAGTTCTATAAGTCTTTTATCGTTATTGTTTTTGTTAATTAGTGTTAAATAAATAGTGTTTAAATAAATTGTGACTTTCTATCCACACGGAACCGACGAAAAACGTAACAGTATAAACTGGAATGCCCCATTGTTCGCACTGCAAGCACACCAATGGACTGACGCACAAAAACGAATCAATCAAAGAAACGCGATATAGTATCGTCTTGAATCACGCTAACATTTTAGAATAAGTAGGAGGAGCGCAGGCAGATGATTAGACCGGGCCTTTAAAAACCTACGTCTGCGGTAAAAACTTACGTTTTTAATGTAAAAATGATAGCGCGCGTGTCGATTCTAACTTCATCAAGCGATGAATCACTCCCAAACATTCGTAGCGTTTACTATACTATGTTTTTCGCTCTATAATTTTCAACTCTAGTATAACATTTTACAAGAGAAAACAATAATATAACTTTCTTTTCCTTGTTCCATAACAAAATATTGTGCAATATTATATTTCAGACCGGCATTTCAATATTGCGTATTGATGTGAGTCATACGTAAAATCGAAAACAATTGTAAATTATATTCGCAGATTTCAATAAAATTTTTACAACACTGTTGTAGGTATATTTTTTAATTAGATTTCTCTTTATACCCCACATTAAAATCAATTTGCGTTGCGTGCAGAAATCGGTTTTATTTCATACATCAAACGTTACTATGTCGGACGCGTGTAAAAGACGCCGTTTTCGTGCTTGCTCGCTATACCCGCATAAATTAATTCGAAAATCTTATCAGCTGAAGAAGGAGCTAACCTATGAGATCACAGCTGCTGTATCCAGCGTTGTGTCCAGCGTTGTGTCCAGCGCGGTGGCCAACGTCAAGCCACAGTTGCCACCGCCTCCGCCGCCTCAACCCTGTCACCATCACCACTCGAGAAAATGCAAGCCGGAGAAAAGAATGAGGAAAGTCACCCCTCACACGGTGGAGCACAACGTAGAGTAAGTACAATTTTTTGGAAAAAAACGACTTTTGCGTTGCATTTAGGGCTCGAACACACTGACGACCAGGTCGCACCGGCCAGGTCGCAGCTACCTCTAAAACCATTAAATCAAATGATACAGCGCACACTAACGTCCTGGCCGGCCGTTGATCGTTGCGACCAGAAGACTGCACGGAAATATTATTATTTTCTGCCGCTTGTCGGTTTTCTTTCAAATTAATATTTTTTCAGATGAAATCCCTCAAATTCAAGGCACAATATTTTATTTTCTATAAGATATAGTGTTTTAGTGTAGTTTTTGCACACGTGCAGAAAATCCAAAGAAATAGTATACAGACTGGATCAAAGGTAAACTTAAATTTAATCCCTTTTTTTATCAAGGGTCGATTCTAGTAAAAACTCAAAACATTTTTGTATGACATACCTACTCTATTTATGGTTCGTATGATACCTGTTATTATACCTTTGAGTTTCGAAGTTAAAAAAAATAATATTTAAAGTTTTTCTACAACCACTGTTTTTTTTTATTAAATTAGTTTTTTTAGTTGTATTGTAGTCATGTACAAGGAGGACAACTGTATTTTAAATATTATATTTAATTTAACGTTTTTAAAACAGGGTTCATTAGACTATATTTCTACTAGGTACATTATTTTGAAAAAAAAAATTAAGAAAGTAATTTAAACATTCATAAAAATAGAAGTAATTACTGTTGTAGATTCTTCGTTATATTGTAAACATTGAAATAACTGGAAGCTAAAGTTTCTACCTGCTTTATATTTAGAGCCAGTGTCTGACGATCTTTTTTTACGATGGCCCTAATATGTTTACTTCTAAAGTCGATAAGGGCGCCATATCAGTAGAAAAAAGAAACAGAATATCTCCCTTTTTGTCGGTCGCGCGTACGCAATGCTTTTTGTTTGTTGTGAATAGCAACTTCGCTTTTTAGTTAACTCGGGTATTTTAGCATTTCTGAAACAATATTTTCTAATTGGTAAAACGTAAAAAATCGTTAGATTTGACAACTGTTGAAACTGGTCGTTCATCTGGCCGCAGCTAAAAACGCAATACATCCGGCCAGCCGACGGCCAGGTCGTTGCGGCCTGGTCGTCAGTGAGTTCGAGCCCTTTTTTTTAGAATTTAGAATGAGTGGGAGGGGGGTTAATCACTTCGACCTTACAGATCCATTGTGTCCCCCTTTCTTGAATCTTAACTCATCATACAGTCCCAGGGCTTTGACAAAAGCCAGTATCTGGGACGGTTTTATAGAGGGTAGTTCTCCATCTTTACTATCAGTCGTACCAAAATTCATGGCACGAATGGTTGTCGTTACATATTTGGAAAAAGCATGTGTTTCACCATCTTCCCCACAGAATCTGCATTCGCCGTTTCTTCTTAGTTTCAATCTACTGAGGTGTTCATTGAGGAGACAGTGTCCTGTTAAAACCCCGTGACAACTGAAGATTGTTCTTACTCAGACCCAGGAAGATCTGTGATTTTCTCTTGATCATAAGCCCTCAGAAACTTCTTCGAGTGTCCTAGACTATTGCAAGATTTCCATTCCAGGTTGCGGATGGAATCTTCCAAGTTCTTGAGTTCCGCCTTGAGTTGGTTACCACTTGGAAAGCAGAACGGTTCTGGTCCAGTTAGTGGAGTGTTCGCTCCTTTCTTAGCTAGATTATTTGCTTTTTCATTGCCTTCTATCCCTTGGTGAGCAGGCACCCAGTGTAGGAGGACTTTGTTTTCTTTTGCCTAATTTATTCAGCTTCTATGCATTCTTTGACCAATTTCGAATTGATTGATACTGAGTTGATCGCCTTTAACGCTGCTTCTGACTATCAGATAAGATGGCTATTTCTTGTTTCCGATAGTTCCTATCTAAGATAAGTTGTACGCATCTCTCGATAGCGTAGATTTCTGCCTGTAGGATACTAGGTAAGTGCCCATTGGTTCGGAGTAATTAGCTCTCGGCCCAAACACTCCGATCCCTGTTCCCGTATTGGTTTTGGAAGCATCAGTATACCAAGTTATGGTATGGTCTTTTAACTGCTGGGCAAGCGTTTCGCTCTTCCAATCCTTCTTATTTCGAGCCCTTAGGAATGGTCAAAGAATATACCGAATCATGAGTCTATTTGCTATCAAAAGAATGCTTTTCTATCCTTCCTTGTATTGAGGAATTTTTATAAAATGTGTCATACTTATACCGTATGATCCAAAAAAAACCGTGTCGAAGATGGCTGAGGAATGACAATCGATAATTTTGGCCCGGTCAAACTCTAGTTATTTACTAAAAACTGACATAAATCTTTACGAACGAGGGTGGCTCGTTACATATTTGGAAAAAGCATTTCTTTGCGAATAATTTAATACCACACACTTGGTATTTCGAGTCAAATTGTCGTTATGAACTGCATGTTCATGTTACAATTTCAAATAAACCATATGTGAAAATGTCAAAAGTTGACGTATGATCTGTCATTCTCTTCAGAGTGTAATTTTCTATCGAATAAAGTAATAAAATACCGAGGGTGTCATTTAAAAATCAAAAGTTGTAGTAATTTCCGGTAAAACTGGAAGTGACCGACAACAATTGAATATGTCAATCAATCCTAATTAATGGCATATACTAACATGCGAAATCTCGTTGTTTTAACTGAAAAAATAAAAAAGTTATAGGGGTGAGCCACTTTTCAGACGCACATCCGGTATAGTTTATATCATCATCTTATAGGAATATTTTTATTTTCAAATAATGCTTGACCAAAAATGCACGTTGTTTTCTGTTTTACTACAGACATGTATTATAAGGTGTTCATTTATAAGACCATGCATAGAAGGAATGAAAACACTGAATCTTAAATGTTTTGTTATCATTGCAGTACAAAAGACCTGATAAAATCGATGAAACTCGATCACAAATTGGAGAAGCTGGAACGTAAGACATCGAAATATAGAGAGAAGCGTCTTGCCTTACAAACCGCTGTCAAATCGAGTGACAGCGAAGCTGGACATTCAAGCAGCAGAAGCAGGTAGGTGTTCTAACTTTTTGATTGATACAGTGTAACTCCTATTAATATATTATGTTTATCTTAACACTTTCTTTTTTAATAAAATATAGATCCAGAGACAAGAATGAGAAACCCAAAGAGGAACAGGAACCTAAAATGGACGCCAAACCTGTCAACAGTCAAAGTGTAGTACCGCATATGTTGGGTGGGGAAGTATATTTGCACCAGTGGGAAGTACAGAATACAGGCGAGGCACCATGGACATCTAAGGTCGGTATTGAGTTATTTTAATCTCATCCAATTATATCTTTATGTATCTGAAACTCTGAAACGCAGTCATTCAATTACCTACTTTAAAAATTGAATGCAATGCCTGAATTATTTCTAAAATGTTAGGCCAGTTAATTAGGTGGTTAGGGTGTGATTTGTTTTAATGGAATACCCTGATATTGTACCTTTGGGTTTCTTTTTGGATACTTTCCATAAACCTAGGATATTGTAAAATTTATTTTCATAGTTACAATGGAAAATGTTTCAATTATTCTTCTCTACTTTTACTTTGAAAGATTGATTATATACACCCTTGGTAGATGGTAGGTAGATGACAGACCTTAGATTAGATTCTTAGAGGTGGCTTTCGGCCTGATCCACTGCGACCTTCTCAGATCTATTGTGGTCCTCTTCTGATCCTTAGATGACATTCTCCAGTCCTATCCTTTTTACTAAGTTTAGCAACTTGGAGACTGAACCCTCCATGTAGCTCCTTGGCAATGGCCTATCATTGCCTATTACCGGGAACCGCACATTTGCCAGGCTGTCACACCGATATAAAATGTGTTCTGACGTTTCTTCTTCAGATTGGCAGAACCTACACATAGCTTTGTCTGTCAATCCCATCAGCTTTAGATGTCTATTTAGCTTACAATGCCCTGTTAGTAGACCTACTACAGCTTTGACTGTCTTTCTGTCCTTGCTTATCAAGTCTACCGTGAATTTTGGCGAATGTTCTACAATGAACCTTTCGCCTGTCTCTGCCCTGGTGAGTTTCTCCACCATTTAGAGATTTGTTGGCCACCCATCGTTCCGTGGCCATTCTCGTGACCGCCTTTGCAACGCCGCAGAAGGGTTCTGGGCCTATGAATGGCATTGATGAGCCTTGCTTGGCCCTTTCATCTGCCTTTTCGTTACCCTTGTGACCCTCGTGCCCTGGCACCCAGGCCAACGTAACAGTGCTACCTACGTCCGCCCAAAGTATTTAGAGCACGCACACAGTCCCACACTAGTCTAGATTGACCTCCCGCGGAGCTGAGTGCCTTTAGCGCCGCTTGGCTGTTCAGAAGATGGCCACAGAACGATCTGTTCTTTGTTGCCTTATTATTTCTTCTACACAATAGTGGATTGCCATTATTTCTGCCTGGAAAATTGTGACATCCTTGGATAGGCTTACGTGGAAGGATCTCCTTGTTTGCCTACTATTCCAGCTCCTTCGCCACAATGACGTTTTTGCCGTCTGCCTGGAAGGTTGACCTCAGCTTGAATGGGTACACCTTTACTCCAGTCTTCCTTCCTGGTATGGTTATATTAAATTTGTTGTTGAAGCTATACCTAGTAGATGTTGCATCAATTGGTAATCCCAATACTTTGTCTGCTTTTAGCTCTTCGATTAGCTTCTGGTTTGCAGCACTATGCGTTTGGCTTATGTGCTGCTGACCGTGAATTAACCTGTGCATGACAGATCTGGCTTCGCCTTGTATGAAAATATGTAGTGGTGGTAAGTTCAACAAGACTTCCATCGCATTTGTAGGAGTGGTTTTTATGGCCCCAGTTATACACAGGCACGCAAGCCTTTGTGTGGAACTTAACAGCCTTACCGCACCGACTTGCGATGTCTTTGTCCACCACGCCATCGACCCGTAGGTTATCATGGGTCTTATTACCCTTGTGTATAGCCATAGAGTCATTTTAGGGTTAAGTCCCCAGTTTTTTCCACACATCCTTCTGCACCTACCTAAAGAGATGGCAGCCCTCTGTGTTGCTTTCGCTATGTGAGTATTCCATGTAAGCCTTTGATCAAAAAATATCCGAAGATACTTTGTTTCTTTGGCAAATGTAATATCCGTTTCTCCTAGCACTGGTGGTTTTAGGCCTTTTGGTGCTATCTTTTTTGTAAAATTGACAATTTGTGTTTTCTGAGCATTGACTGTCAGTCTCTCTTGTTTGCACCACTTGTCAACTTTGTTTAGGGCTGTCTGCATTCTTTCTGATATCATACCAGCAAACTTGCCTCTGACCACAATTACGATGTCGTCTGCATATCCTAGGCAATAAAAACCTTGTGTGGACAGTTCGTTGAGGAGGTCATCTACCAAGGTTGCCCAAAGTAGAGGAGATAACACTCCTCCCTGTGGACAACCTCCACCCGCTACTGCTTTGATAGTAGCTTGCCCCAGAGTGGACGTCACTATCCTGTTTTCTAAGCCTTATCCATCTACATACCACTGCAGGTGTACCTCTTCTACTCATTGCATTTACTAGTGAATCGGTAGTAGCATTATTGAATGCTCCCTCAATATCTAAAAAAGCGGCCATTGCTATTTCTTTGTCCTCTATCGACTTTGAAATAAGCCTATTTAAATCATCTAATGCAGCATCCGTGGATTTACCTGGTTGGTATGCATATTGACGATTGCTTAGGGGACTATCCCTTAGCACTTCGTCCCTTAAAAACCTATCCAAGAGCCTCTCTAGCGTTTTCAGTAGGAAGGAGGATAGGCTTATCGGTCTATATGACTTTGGTGTAAAGTCCGATACCTTGCCTACCTTAGGAAGATATATGACCTTAACCTTTTGCCATCTTTCTGGTATGACTCCCCATGCCAGGCTAGCTTTGAGAATCTTACATATGTGAGGTATTAATTCCTCTATTCCCATCTGTAATAGTATGGGATATATACCGTCTGTACCCGGAGATTTATACGGCTGGAATTTATTTATTGCCCATCTAATTCTACTTGGTCTGGTAACTTCTGTGGCAATTTTCCAATCCACAGGCCTTGGCCTGGCCAGCCTTGGGTCTAGGTTGGTTTGCCTAGTAGAGTCCCTCAGAATTAGCGAGGCCGGAAAGTGAACTTTTATTAATTCTTTAAGACTTTCCTCTTTAGTTTCTGTATAAGTGCCATCAGCTTTCTTAATGAAACCTATTTCCTTGATGGTTGCCCCATCTTTTGCCAGGACTTTATGGATACGAGAGCATGCCGGGACATCTGTAATTTCCTCGCAAAACTTTCTCCATGAATTCCTTTTGGCTTTTCTAATTTCTTTATTGTATTGCGTGAGCTTATACCGGTAGGTAGCCCAATCTTGGTTTGACAGACCTTAAGTAAAACGTTTACTTTTTTTAAGTAAACAGTCCTACACATTTGTTTAAAAGATTATACATATATGTATTGTATACAGGGTGGCCCATCGAAAACGTTCCGCAAGGCATAACGGCCAGTGTATTTCTTTTTTCAAAAAATCCAAAAACACGTCAATTTTGTTTGTGAGGGGGACAACTTTTGCCCCAAAAATAATTGCAAAATCTTCAATCCTCTAAGCGGGGGTGTCATCCCCCAACTTTTTTCAAATGGGAAGGGGGGTCAAGTGGCACCGCAATGAAAAGAGCTTTATATTCTCTATACTTTCCCGCTTCGTTTTTGAAAATCGGTCCAGTCATTGAGAAAATATGAAGGATTGAAATTTGAAAAGTTTATTTAAGCATTTATCAGAGTAAATGATAATTAAGGGTAAATTCGACCAATTTACTATTTTTTCTTATTATTTATAGATGTTTACGCATTTTTTCACTTGCCACAACGTTGAACGATCAGGTGCGGTAGTTGCTAGATAGCTGTTCTGTGACTTATACGTTGAAGTTTTTCTCAATATCGTTAAACTGACCTACAATAGAATTTCCAAAAATACCAGCCCACACGTTCAATTTCTGAGGGTTTTGTGTGTGCACCTCGTGAAAAACCCTGGGGTTGTCCTCAGCCCAGTACCGACAGTTGTGCCGATTAACTACACCATTCAAAAAGAAAGTATCCTCATCCCGAAAACACACATTAAATAGGAAATTATTATCATTCGCCACTCGTTCACTCATAGCTTCACAAAATTGCAAGCAACGATCAAAATCGTCTTCGTTGAGTTCTTGTACCAACTGAATTTTGTACGGGTGGAACTTGTGTTTTTTTAATATCGTTTGGAAACTTACGGTACGATTCCCGCCGGTCTTATTGGCTAATTTTCTTGTACTCAGAATACTGTCCATGGCAACTTGGCCCAATACGAATACCTCCATAGCCTCATTTACTACAGGATTTTCCCTCTGCCTCTTTTTATTCATAACGGAACCAGTTTCGCGAAATTTTGCTACTAACTGGCGAACAATTTTGCCATAAAGGTGTTTGTCAGGATGGCGTTCATTGAATATCTGCGCAACTCGATTGCAAACATCTAGAAATAATAAGAAAAAACAGCAAATTGGTCGAAGGAATTTATCCTTATCATTTATTCTGATAAATGTTTAAAAAACTTTTCAAATTTCAATCCTTCATATTTTCCCAACGAATCGACCGATCTTCAAAAACGAAGCAGGAAAGTATAGAGAATAGAAAGCCCTTTTCATTACGGTACCGCTTGACCCCCTTCCCATTTGAAAAAATCGGGGGATGACACCCCCGCTTAGAGGGTTGAAGATTTTGCAATAATTTTTGGGGCAAAAGTTGTCCCCCTCACAAACAAAATTGACGTGTTTTTGAATTTTCTGAAAAAAAAAATTACCCTGGCCGTTATGCCTTGCGGAACGTTTTCGATGGGTCACCCTGTATGTATTGTCCATGTCAAAATATATAATCAGGAAACTAGTTAACGAGCTTATAAATACTAAGTTTTTTATATTTTTTCTTCAAACTTATACAAAAATTTTTCAGGTTTTGGCACCATACTTCTATAAAAATAAAACAAAGTTCTACTGTGTTGAGTCTCTCTTTCCATGACAATTTTTCACAATATCTGAAACTAACATTGTCGATAAATACGTCCTTAGTTATTTTAGCTGAATAGGCTAAATAGTTATAGAAAATTAAAAAGTTAACCGCCATACAATTTTTACATTTCAAATGCAAAATAAGTTCGTTTATTATTAATCATTTTTTGGTGGTTAAAGTTCAAAGTTTTTCATACGCACGTACCTACAATTAAAAATATTCTAATCAGTTAGTGTTGAACACAATACAAATGTAATATGAATGGGTATGACTAATATTTTTTTAAACAAAGTGGTGCTTAATTAATTGAGACTAGACATTTAATTAATATAGGTAGAAAATAGTTTTAATACAAAATACATCAGAGTTGATAATACTATTATACAGAATAGAGGGTGTTGGAATTTTGCAAATTAAACCTGGACTATTTTAATTGAACATCCGATAATAATAATTAATTTGGCAAGACATAAAATTTTATTAAATTACATATATGTAATAAAATTACGTCACATTATTGTATAATTAAGTCTAGTCATATAGTGTGTAATTTTTTTTATTTTTATCAGCTACTATTTCCTTAATAAGTGGTGTCTGTTGAACTTTATAGAAAAATTATGGTAACTGAAAGTAGAATGATTAATCATATTAATATTTTTGAAAAAAAGATAATAAATAAGGATGATTCATTCATCTATAGTTGAGATTAAAATAAATGTATTGTTAAATTACGAGAATCTTAATTTTGTGATACAATTGCTTAGATATTTAATCTGATAAATGGTTATGACTCACTTTTTAGTTTTTTTAATAAATAAAATATGTAATTTAAGGATATTCAACTTTTCCGTTTCCAGACTTTTAACTTCTTTTTTTTAACTCACATTTTTATATAATCTGAGCTCAAATTTTAAATTGCTTTAATTTGTTTTTTTTTCCTATAATTTCAGACCCAACTTCATTATACATGGGGATCCAAATCATTGGAACCAGTTGACAAAGTGATTTCGGTACCACCATTGAAACCAGGAGAAAAAGGAACTATCTCAGTTTGTCTTCATATTCCCGGTACTTTTAAATCGTTAATTTTAGAAATAGAATTAATTTTAATCTAATTATCAAAATTAATTAGTGGAATTGTCTAGCCAAAGATTACCATGGGTGATTTATTTAGGCTTGCAATTTTCTGATCGTTTTTTTGACTAAAGTCTACTGTTAATTTTTTTGTAATTGATCAATTTAATCGTTACATGAATTAGAGCGGGGTGAAAAAAACATTTTTTTTATTTTTAAACAAAATATATACAGGGTTGTTCACCACATACGACACGGAGTATTGTAGCTAAACGATTAGATTTTTACAAATTGTAAATTTTGGGTTCGTTGAAGGACTATTAGAGCTACAATTTAAAAATATTTTTACAAGATACAGAGTGTCCCAAATAAGTAAAAAATCCTATAGTTGTATTTTTTTAAATGGAACACCCTGTATATTATTCTCTTTTTAGATTCTACAATTGAAATAAAGGTAAATTTTAGTAAGGTACATCACACTTAAACCTTACCGTTTTGGTTTGGTTTGGTTTGGTTTGGTACTTACCGTTTTTGAAATATTTTCAATTTTGTGAAATTACAGTAAACATTTTAAGGCTTCATTTCTCCAAGGGTATCAAAGTTTTTAATACTAAATATTTACTGAAGTTTATTTATTGATCAGTTATTGTGTTGCAATAATAAAAATTATACTACCTTATACAGAGTGTCTAAAATTTTATTTTAAATAATTACTAGCTTTAAACGGCAATAACTTGTTTAATTTAAATGGAACGTCCTGTATATTTTAGGAGAATCAGATGCATAATTTAATTGTCTATCAAATTGTATCATACCACTTTTTACCTATCCCTTCAAGTTTTCGTAGAAAATGCATTTCCTTATAATTTAGACCTCATTTATCAATATACCCATGGAATATTGACATTTTAGATTGTTTTTAAAGCAACAAATGTACAAAATGTACAGGCTAGTAATATTATGGTTTTTAACAAAATGATAATATTACTAGCCCATTTGTATGCAAAAAGTAAATTTTGCATTCAAAATCTTCATAAAAAGTATACCATTAATTAAATATACTACCATTATTTCCGCCCAAATACTAATTAATTACATACTTAATTATGTTCGTGAATAAATTATTCTAAATAAATGTGGATTTAAATCAGAAATCAAAATAATAATAAGTTATGAAAATGAATGTCTCTGTTGTTACAAATAAGCATTTGTCAAAAAACGAAATATCATTTCTAAGGTGTTACTTTTTACCACACTGTTTAATAAACATAAAAAATTAAGTTTTTTAGTTTTTGGAGCAATTATTATTAATCAAGGCAAACAGTCAATTAATGTAGTTTGAATACTGGAATCATATTAATTGGTCCTCTTTAAGAAATATTTAAACAGTTTTTTTTATTTTTTAATGAAATAAACAAACTATATCAACAATATTAGTATCTGTACATCTTTAAAAATAATCTAAAATGCCAGTATTCCATGGTATATTGATAAATGAATTAAAATTACAAGAAAATGCATTTTCTACGGAAACTTGAAGCTATAGGTAAAAAATGGTATAATACAATTTGATAGACAATTAAATTGTGCATCTGATTCTCATAAAATATACAGGGTTTTCCATTTAAATTAAACAAGTTATTGCCGTTTAAAGCTAGTAATTATTTAAAATAAAATTTTAGACACTCTGTATAAGGTAGTATAATTTTTGTTATTGCAACACAATAACTGATCAATAAATAAACTTCAGTAAATATTTAGTATTAAAAACTTTGATACCCTTGGAGAAATGAAGCCTTAAAATTTTAACTTCAATTTCACAAAATTGAAAATATTTCAAAAACGGTAAGGTTTAAGTATAATAAACCTTTATCAAATTTACCTTTATTTTAATCGTAGAAACTAAAAATGTAATAATATACAGGGTGTTTTATTTAAAAAAATACAACTTTGATATTTTTTTATTTATTTGGGACACTGTATCTTGTAAAAATATTTTTAAATTGTAGCTCTAATAGTCCTTCAACGAACCCAAAACTTACAATTTGTAAAAATCTAATCGTTTAGCTACAATACTCCGTGTCGTATGTGGTGAACAACCCTGTATATTTTAATTTTAAGGTTTCAAACAGTTCTTATTGCTTTAAGCACGATTTTAAGCGATTAAGTACAATGTTTCTAATCAGTTTTGTGATCAGAGTTGGGTACTTTTAACCCAACTCTGATGACCATACCAACAGGTGTGGTAGGCTCTTAAGATCGGCAAAAAAAGTTTTTTTTAATTTCACTCAAAATGAGTTATTTAGGTCATCAATGACCTAAATACAAAATATTTTCTTGATGTCTGTCTGTCTGTCTGTCCGTCTGTAACACGATAACTCAAAAACCGCTTAACCGATTTTAATCAAATTTGGCACAAAAATACTGTGGCACCCGAGAATCTGGCCATCAGTTTTTGGTGGGGGTGGGGGGTTGGTAGTGGGAGGGGGTTAGAAATAGGTATGGGAGGGGGTTAAAAATTTTAAAAAATCGTAATTCCTAAATTACAGTAGCTAGCGAAACGCGGTTTTCAATTTAAGATTAGGAATAATATTTGCAACAAAATTTGTAATAACATCAAAATCAGCCAATGTTGCAGTTTTTGAGATATTCCGTGTTTCCGTAGTCCGTTTTTGAGAAAATCAGTGTGGAGAACTCGAAACTCCTATCGGACGCGACCTTAGGTGGCGGATAGGGGAAATAACCGCGGACCAAAATTGGAAAAATTCCTTTACTTTGAAACTAAAAGAACTGCCTACCAACTTGTTATTAATATATTTTAGTATGGGCGGCTGTACGTGCCTTCGGGCGCCAATTTTTTCTGTTATAATGAGCTGAACGATTTTTTATATGCATATTAGGTTTAGGTGATTACTTTGTTTCTTATTCCTTTTCTATAATTGTTTTTCTTTTTATTAAATAGTTGAGAGTTCTTTTTCTTATTTTTTATTGAAAAAATAACACACACCAAACGGAGTTTTATAGAGTAAATTAAGTATTATTTAAAACAAGTAATGGCGTTTTAAAACTTTTAAAACACTCATTTTTAAACAAAATATTTAAATCATAACAACTTTGTTTTTTTGCTTACTGATAATAAGAAAAACTGAAAGTTCGCATATTTAAGTATGCATTTCATCAAATTAGTAAATATTACTTAGATAATTTCATAATAAATGGTAGTAGCATCTATAACCATTTTTTCCCGACTAAAAGATGATATTTAATAAGAAATAGTATTATGTGAATGCAAATTTTGTTGGTCTCTACTATAACTGTCATGTTTTCAGGTCAAAGCGGCAAATATGAATGCTACTGGCAATTTATGCACGACAGGCGTCGTTTCGGCCACTGGCTTGGTTGCCAAGTCGTCGTCGACCCGTTCGATCTGAAAGGAAACCGATCCGTTCTGGCAACGTCGAACGCACCCACCAACCTTGACTTCAAACCTGAAAACGCGTCCGCTCCTACCTATGGTTTTATTCCTGACGAAGCTGTAGCTTTGGCACGTAAGTCTATGGTGTATTAAATGACATCTTTTTATTAGTATTTACTTATTTGGGAGATAACGATATGGCGGTATTAACTTTGAATAAAAAGATGAAAGAAGGAGTAATACGGAATTGACATAGAAGTAATACAGAATTGACATTGTTAGCCCCCTTACTTGACTGTTTGACCTTTCAATTGGCACATTTGAATTTGATTTGAAATTTTGCGGATTTGTTGGGCTTTTCTGCACTTATTTTATATTATTTAATATTATTATTCCATAATTTGTTTTGCTCAGAGGTCGCACAGTGCTTCGAACATATGGCTCTAGAGGACAAAAATGCAAAACTTCTCTTTTATTGTAGGCAATTTATTCTCAAACTAGGTTTATTTGACACAAATGATGAGTACTCTCATTGTACTAAATGATGATGTCCTTAGTCCCACGTTTATGAAAAAAATCTTATAAATAATAAAAATGTTGGAGCTGTGTTCCATCTAAGGAAATAATAATTTATAGTATGAAAACGGTATAAGTATTAAATAAATCCCTGTGATAAAAAAGAATTGAAATAACATTAGAACATGATTCCTACAATATAAGCCTAATATAAGATAAAAATGTTTTTCTTTAATGAAAAAGAAACAATGTTATATTTAATTTAAAAAAAAACTTAAGATACTATAAATTTACTTTAGGACAACAAAATGCATAGATTGTAACTACTCTGATTCAGAAGAATCACTGCTGACAGAATCTTCCAAATTTATAGTATCCAAATCATAGGTAGATGAAGTATCCTCACATATAAGATATTTCTGTACATCATTTTCTAATATGTTACTTTTTCGCGTTGTTACTGTTCTTTTTGTTGGTATGAGGGGTTCGGATGTTAATAGTTACCTCTTTAATAGACGATATCCATATATTATTTTCTCCTTTTCTTGGGTATGAGGTTTTATAATAAATTGAAAGATGGAAACTTTTTTATGCGACGTTTCGCTCCAACATAGTGGGCTTTTTCAGGCACAAGTGGTGTCTCATTTGACTGGAAGGTTCATCAATATCTAATAAAGAACACATTTTTTGAAATACAAATAATTTTGAGTTCTTGTCCTTATGATCAAGCCAAGTATTAACTAGATCGGCATTGCTTATCAATTTTACTCCATCTGAAAAGTATTATAAAATAAAGTTCGTCGCAAGCAGACGCAGGTGAACTATACAAAAATTTAAAATGTATGAATATGACAACAAAAATATTGAATAAATACAATATGTTTTGATATGTTTTTTTTAAATGCCTTTTTGAAGTTTGAAAACGTAAAATTTTTATACCCATTATTACTACCCACTATTATTTTTATTACCCCAATTATTTGTGCAGCGTGCGATAGATCTCGGCCAAAAATTGAGCGATATAAGTCAAATAACCAACAAGTTTTGAAATTTACTTATAATTAACTAATTAAACAGGGTGTCCCAAAAATAGGTGCAAGTATTTTAAGGGGTGGTCTCGATAAAAGAAACATATTTTCTCTTTATTGTTTTTCAAATAAGTCCAAAATAACGGAGTTATTTTACTTTAAAAATTTTTAAAAAATATATTTTTTGCTAAAATTTTGAGAACCACTGGTTCTTTTCTGGAGTTTCTTTCTTGTAAATTTAATCTAATACCTATGTTGCCATATCAAGAAATTGTGTTTTTTAACTAAAAACTAAAAAAAAATCCAAAATTTTTTTCAAAAAATGTCGAATTTTCAAAAAAAAATTTCGCAAAAAAACCTCATTGAACTATACTACCAGTTAAAATACTTGCACTTATTTCTGGGACACCCTGTATAGTTTTTCTTTAATTTTTGCTTTTATTTACTACTTGTCAAAAATAATTATTAGGGTACGTCAGTTTGACATACGTGTTTCAGTACTAAATAATTATAACACATTTTAATATCTAATAACATTTATAGACAACAAAAATCAAATCCAGCCAATTATTGAATCTACAGCTACATTATGTTTTTACACGTGTATTTTAAATAAAATTAGAACGGCATTGATAAACCGGAATTTAAGTCAGTCATATTAATCTGTCATCGCGGTACATTTAACTTTTTTGATATGCTTCCTTAATCTTTTTATCCAAGGAGAGGCGCTATTTTGACAACTTTGACAGTTAAAGTGTCATAATAAGCGTAATAATGTTATAATCACGCTACCGCTTATCACTATATTCAAAAAGGAGAGTTAGCTTACAAAATATTGAAAAAAGACCTGGACCCGTATTCTGTAACTTTGAAAACGCTAAGCGCTTTTAGACTATCAGCGTATATTACGTTATTTTTCGCTTAGCACGCACTTAACTACCGATTTGGGTATTTTCATCTGACGCGCTTAGCGTCTTTACCCGTTGCGCTAAGCGATTTGAAAAGGGTTACCTTAATCGGATCGTTTTCCTTGTCGAACTGTCAGTAAAAATAGAAAAAATTGTGATTTTGTGCGTTCTCTTGCTCTCTAGTGAAACTTATTTCTTCTATAAGTTTCTCAATAAGGGTAATTGATAATTTACGACTTGGCAGCTATAAATATTGTTCAAAACATCGAAAATGCTGAGAAGGGTGTTCAACGTCTCCCTCGTATAATAAGAGTAATGACATACCCATAGAAAAATAGGTTGACATACCTCAACAGTAGGTTATGCAATTCACGTAACATTGACATTTTTCCCTGTTTTATTGTTTTATTCATATTTGACGATTAGTAAACTATTAGAAACCTGAGAAATTGCGATGCTGCCAATATGTGCCCAACGCGTATCTACGAAACAATTCGCACGGCAACGAGAATATCAAAATCGACTGCTTGGCGTTCGGCTAATCAAATACTTCTGCTTACCGCTTTGAAAGCGTAATGTTTTATATGTCGAAGTTCCAGAATTCGGGCCCAGAACAGTTGTTCAGATTTTATAAAACTATAAATTACTTACTTTCATTTAGGTTTTGAAGAGTTTTTAAAGGGGACTAATGGAGACCCAGCACAAAGAAAATCCAGCGATTCGTCCAAATCTGCTGAAGCTCTGGCTTCATTATACAAATCTTTGCAAAATGATCAGAAGAAAGATGAAGACAGTGTTGTGAAAACTATTACAGAAGAATTGGTTTGTGAGGTATCTGAAAACGTTGATCATATTAGTTTTGACGAAAATGAAGATTCTGATACAAGTAAGTACTATCGTTGGTTTCGTTTGGTTGTTTGCATTTTTATTTTTTTTAACTTCTTTTGAAAAAAAAATGTTAAAAATTTATTTCTATGTAAATAGGGTTTAGAGTATTTAATGTTTTTTAATGAACTTCATCTGAACATATTTTCCAAACGTCTTAACTTTTGAAATACAGCGTGGTAAATCTTTCGTGAACATACGTTTTTACAATAACCTAGAGAAACGCCCTGTATAAACGTCACGTGAGCCATAGAGAGAGAAAATGCACCTTAAGGCGGAATTACATTACTGTCATGTCACGTGAGTTCACATGCTAACACAGTAAAAGTAAGTTCACGTGTGGTTTAAAGGAACCGCTTTAGTATCACGTCGTTTTTTTTTTCATATTATGCGCATTTTATTATGAACCGAAAGCCATTTCTCGTTCGTTCAGCGTTCTTCTCAAGTTTAACAACTTAGGTCCTATACTTAACGTAATAATGAATCAAATAAATAGTTCTTCATCTTCATCTTCTGAGTTTGAAGAAGATTTAGAAAACGCGTGTGGTTTGCTTGTGGTTGCTGATAATATTAAACATATTAAAACTAGGATATGGGGTTCATGACATTAATTTGAAATAAGAGTAATTTGTTGCATCAGTTATTGTAAAGCACCTCGTGTAAACGCACTTTTTCTATTAGAATTTCTTCCATTTTCCAACCCTCACGTTTTCACGCCTCACGAAATTGATGTTAAAACAGAATATTTGAGCGCGAAACAACTCGCAATATCACGTAATTTCACATGAATCCCCCAAGTGACAATAATGTGTTCACCCTTGATGTGTTGATTAATAAAATAAATGCAAAACATCCGTCTCATCAAATTTACTGCTCATGTGTGTTCACATGAATTCACGTGACGTGATAGTAATTAGGGCTGCACCGAGTACCAAGTAGTTCGGTGCTCGGCCAGAATTTTAACCGGGTAATATGTACTTGGTGCTCGGCCTTACTCGGCCGAGTAGGCCGAGTAAAGTATAGTAATAGAAACAATCCATTTATGCATATCCAAAACAGATAGAAATGACTCACAGTGGCAAATAATAAAATAAAGAAAAAGTTATTCATTCATAACTTTAATTAATGTATTTTAGCAAAGTAATAATAATAAGTATAAGTAATAACACAAACACAGTGAAATAATAATTTAATACTTATAATCTAAAAGAGGTCAGCACTGTCACTCATTTTAATATAACTTTAAAGGGTATTATTAATTGTTTGAATTTATTTGACTTTTAAATTAGTTACACATATAAGTTTTGCTTAAAACAAAATCAACGTCGCCACCGCACCTTAAACGAATCAATTCAGAATCCAGCACATTAGAAATATCAGTTTGCATGGGGAACCACAGAATAAAACAATATCTCCATAAGCAAAAATACACCAGGTCATTGGTTTGTAGTCGGGGAATCCCAGTCGCTCGCCAATCATATACAAAACAAACAAGATCATTGGTTTAAGGCCGGGGAATTGCGGAAATTTTAACTAGCTTTCTTTAATGTTAAATTATATATTTATATTTATATTATTTATAAAATATAATATTATGTAATGGTGTATAGTATAATTAGTATATATTGATAAAGGTCGCATAACTGTTAAGACTACTCGGCAGCCGAGTACTAGGTACTCGGCCATTACCTTTAGCCGAGTACTCGGTACTCGGTCAAGTTAAAAAACAAGGCTCGTTACAGCCCTAATAGTAATGTAATTCCGCCTTTACAGCATACAATATGCGTACCATATTTCACAAAGATAGTTAGAGATAGAGAGTACTAGATTACAAGAAATTATAAAAAAAATTTCTTGAAGAGCATACATTTTATATACCGTCTTTTTTTGAGAAAATTGAAATAAACTTCGTATGTGCGGTGTAATTATCTTGAATCGTACATGTGCAGTGTAACAACTCAAGTTTGTCAACAAAATTGAAGAGGTAATATACGGCCAACTGTATATAACAAACAATTTAAATGAACGACAGGAACATACGCTGTGTTAAATATTTTTTTTTATTGTGATTACCTCGGATGCGCTTCGACAGAAGGAATATTTTGGGAAATTTGAGGAGAATAAGTCATGTAAATGAAACACTAAATTTGTAAATAGTCCTACTTATTTTATTAAATGAAATGAATGGATTGCCATACTCTGCCTGGAATTCACGACTAAAAGAGCACGGCAGAGAAAACCCCGATCACTATTCCAGAGAATCTAACTATGCTGTCCTGAACTTTAATAAAAGAGAAATAATAATAATATAGAAACTGTCCTCATACCTAGGTTTATAGTTTAATACATTCAAAACACGCCACATTTATATCGTTCAAAACTGAAGAGAGTTAGTTTAACGGGTCCCCACCCTTAGGCGGTTCATCTCAACTGTATAAACTAAATCACTGTGTGAATTTCAGATTCTAGCGACGACGAGAACCTGAGCGAGAGCCTCCTGGCCGGCTACAGCTCCTCCAAGAACAGCTTCAAAGACGAATTCGTCCTGGTTCCCGTTCCCCAATGTTTCGTGGTGGACGGCGACCCACCCGCCCCCTCCAAAGGTGAAGGCAAAGTTTGGCGCACTCAGGCCACCACCGACCTGCCCCGCACCTCGTCCACGCCGAAAATGTCGAAGGCAGTTTCTGGCGGCAGTTTCGACGACAACAACAATGAGAGTCGCGCCTCCGGCTCGTCGGGCAACAGTATCAAGCTGCGCGACGAAGACCTGGACAACGTGGTGGTGATCACTGTGCCCAAGGACGACCAGGTCAAGGAAGGGTTCATTTACGTGCACGTGGACGGGCAGAAGGTGCTCATTCCGAAGAATATCCTGAAATCGGAAGTGGTGGACGCGGCCAATGCTTTGGAGAAACAGCCTGGGGAGAGTAAACCAGTGGGAGTGGTTATAGAGTAAGTTTTGATTAAAATTAAAACAATACGATTATAAAAAATGTATATACCTATGTGGCGGATTCATCTCTCCAAAAAATTCCTATATGGGTATTTCGCCACTGCAAGAAAATCTACAAAATAAAATAGTTATTTTTTGTTATTTTTACCAAACCAAACACTGCTGCGTTAATCCAACGGACTAATAAACAAATTTGTCTAATGGACAAAAATAACGCTTAACGTTTCGGAAAGTTTATCTCTTTCAGTCGTCGGAAGCAACTAAAGGAAATAAATGAATTTTACTTATTTTTACATGTCTGATTTTTACATATGTTATTAAGATAGTTATTATAAAGTTATACTTAATCAGTCAGACAGATTGTAATGACCAAACATCCTCTAAACACAAAATTAATTAGCCGTGACTATGAGCGCGGGAGAACTATGCGCTTCTGAGTAAAGTATTTAAATATTTTAAAAACACTTTCTGCTTTTGATTTAATATTTTTGCATCTCTATTTAATTAAGATGAGCTTTTTTATTAAAGTAATAATTAATAATTATTAAAGTAAATTAATTTATTGCATATCTAACTACTCAGAACAATTATCGCATATTTTCTAAAAAAAATATTAATTTGAAAAACAAGACACCTTGAATTCTCTCACGTTTTTGGATAGTTTGGATACTGTAAAAGGAACTATTGGAAAATAAGCCTGGAGGTGACATGCAATTCTTAGTCGGTCGACTATTTAGTTGCAGATTTGTAACCAATATAATTCTTATGGAGCCGCGCTCACATGCAATGAAATAGTCGGCCGATCGGCTCCATAAGTATATATTGTTTTCACTTTTACAACTAATCTTATTTAAATAGCGATGCAAAAATATTAAATCGAAAGCAGTAAGTATTTTTAAAATATTTAAATACTTTACTCATACGCAAAAAACATATGAAAAAAAAAGAAACGCATTTCTCCCGCGCTCATAGTCACCGGTAAATAATTTTTGTGTTTAGAGGATGTTTGGTCGTTACAATCTGTCTGATTAAATATAACTTTATGATAGCTGTCTTAATAACATATCTAAAAATAGATAGTTCATTTATTTCTTTATTTACCATTCTCACCTGGTATCTGCCAAGGTGACACAGGGCGAACCCCACAAACACGTCGGAATTCAAAGCACACGAGAGCACTACTGAGAGCCCAAGGTTTCATTCTTGTGAAAATAAGTTATGTCTGATCGCTCTGGGATCTTACTCTAATTACGTCTCTGGATTGTACGTGAAAAACTCTACCAGACACAGTTTTTACCTTTTTAATATTTTGCAAGATAACCAAGATACAAAGGGGGTCGAAAAATGAAGATATAAAAAATGAGAAAAAACAGTTATAACCCAAAAAAAAACAGCTATTATTTGACACTATTTTTTTTCTAACCTAGGTCCAACGAGAGTTCCAGTCCTAAACCCACTTCATCAACGGCTTCAACAATCGGCGCCGATGACGCCGCCGGCAATACCACGGATGGCGCCGCCTCAACCAAGACCCCTTCAACATCGCAACCGGCCAAAAACGAGGAAAAAACCTCGAATAGTCCGATAGACATGACCGTGAAGGGGCTCGGTGGTTCCCAGAACGATCTGCGCAGCGACTACTTCGAGGCGAACAACTACACCAGCCACTGTTCGGCCGCGGGGTCCTGCTTTTCCGAGGTGAACGCGCAGGCGCAGAAACAGGAGCGAAGGAAACTGTTCGTTTTCCCCCTGGAAGTGCCCGGATACGAGGTGATCTATCCCACGTTGAACGTTAACAATCCTGATAATCCTATACTAGAGGAAGGTGAGTTGGTTAAAAGTGAAACACAAGTCACAGAATTATAAATACATATAAAATATCGAACAGAGCTTGATTTTATTGGTTGAATTTGCGCAGTTTTTAAATTTATTGCATTTTCATGCCTCCGTTCGTCGGATATACGATTTGCTTGTGACTAGTGTCATTTTATATTTTCATTTCCATACCGATTTCGCTGTTTTTCTTATAGTCTAAGAGCCAGCAACGTTTTCGAGAGAGAATTTTAAGAAAGCTGGTTCTTTAATATATCTTATTATGCCCTCCTGAACAGAGTGTGGACCGTCTGGCTTCTGGTAGACTTTGCATTTACTACTGCGCATCATATTTGTATTCAACATCTGTTCACTACTGTGCATCACAAATACGGCTAGGAGGCTAGGACAAACATATGTGTAGCATATTTAGTTTCATAAAAAGGTACCAAAGTAGTGTGAAAATCTCATCATTGTATCTCTACTCATAAACGAGAAATCCCATAAACTACACGAAAATGGGATACCCTGTACATATATGATGCGCAGTAGTGAACCAAGTAGTCTACCGGCACCCATGTCAGGAGAGCACAAGAGCAAAAGCATAGCAAAAGATATACAGTATACAGGGTGGTCCGCACTGTATTACATATACATATACTGCAGAAAAAAATAAGTAAAAAAGTTGCTATAAATGTATGTCCTAAAATGTTTAGTTTCGGAGATACAAGGTGTAGAAGTTTAATTTTTATTTCTTGGAAAATTGGTGCCTGAGAGTTTTTTGACAAGAGAAATTTGGGATTTTGATGTCAATATGACTAATATTTGTAGAGAACGCCACTTACATGTGTTTTAACTGTTTTGAAGAGTAATAACGTTTTGTCCCTACCTGTATAAAACTACTGAGTGAAAAAATACACATTTTCGTGACTTTTTACGTAAAAATGTCTCTTGGTAAAAATCGGCTACGAGCAGCCGTCCTCTAGATACTTAGAGTGGAAATAGTCAATACATGTCATTATTGACAAAAAATAAACACGTTGAGTATATAGTTATTTGACTGAAATATTAAATTTGGGAAATTTTTATTTTTTTAAATTAATCATAAATTTTTCTGCGAAAAAACAATGATAAAACAGTTTGTGTTGAACTTTTGGCACAAAAACATTTTGAATTTATGATTTCAGTCTAATAACTATTTAGTCAACATGTTTAATTTCGGTTAATGATGAAAGGTATTGATAATTTCGATTCCAAATATCTCGAGAACCATTAACAATTAATCGTAGTGTTTTTGACTCAGTAGTTTTATACAGGTATGGACGAAAAGTTATTAGTCTTCAAACCAGTTAAAAAATATGTAGGTGGCGCCCCCTACAAGCAGCATTCATAGCATCAAAATTTTATCATGTCAAAAAACTCTCAAACACCAATTTTCATCCAAATATTGACGTTACTGCAGAAATTATTTGGAAAAAATCGAAATAAAATGAAATTTCTACACCCTGTATTTCCGAAACTAAGCATTTTAGGACATACATTTATACGAACGTTTTTACTTATTTTTATTTGCAGAATATGTTGCCGAAGTTTCCGGAATACAGTTCGAACCACCCTGTATAAAAAAACTAGCCTTCTTAAAATTCTCGTTTTCCCGACGTCGCTAGCTCTTGTATTATTATATTTTAAAGGTTATTATATTATTAAATTTGTCAAAAAAGTGTCAAAACGTCCGTTATCGTACGATCTTTGTCCGTTGACAGGCTGGAGTAAAAAAATTACGGATGAAAAGTGGCGCGAAAATGCTATGACCAATCAGAGCTCCGCGCCGTCGGACCATCGTATCAACGGATAACGGACGCATGAAAATCACACTTTAGTCATTTAGGATAGGACTTTAACTGGAAATAAGGCGGTTAATTAGTTGGAAATCTGATTTAAACAGCAAATTGATTAAAATAAAACAAAATCTGATTAAATAAAAAAAATTTTTAATAAATCTTGATTTTTTTGCTCCCTGCTTAATAAACTGTATTTGTTTCAGGCACAGTTGCTCGAGCTCCACCGTCCACTGGTACTTCAACACCGCCCGCCACCAACCCATTCAGCGAAATGGATCATGTGCCCAACTACCAACAAACCCTCCCCATAGATATACCGGTACCAGAAAATTATGTCTGCACTAGAATAGTTGAGGAGGTACCGTCGGCACCCGTAGAACAGCCCAAAGACGTACCGGTACAAGACGAAAACACGACCCACGCTCGAGTGGTTCAACAACCATCTTCGGCAGTGGAAAATCCCGCGCAGGTGCACATTCTGCCCGAAACCATTGTGAACGGGGCCGTAAACGTCGCTTCTTCGGCTATCAACACCGCCAGATCGGTAATCAGCCACATGATTAATCCGCAACAGGTAAATATACCCCATAGCAACGTAATCCTTGTATATGTTACAGTGAAAGTCGGAAATTCAGTGATTGTTAACATTCACTAGGAAATGCTAGCAGTTACGCATTGAACCAATCAATCTGGAATTTTAAAGAGATTTGTCGACTTTGCCTAGTAATTTCTAACATTCACTAGTGAAAGTAACATTTACTAAAGGTTGCCAGTAAAAGTTATTCTATTGTACAGGGCGAGTGCGGCGAGGAAGAATGTTGGTGGGAAGAACAACTAAACTTTTAAGAATATTAGATCACCTCAATATTTAAGTTGATCCACATATCTTAAAATTACAATTTACTTCTTTAGTATATTTATTAAAAATTATAGAAAATAGCGACACATAATATTCATAAACATAAAATTACTTATTGGTACAAGTTTTTTTAATGAAGTTCTTCATCGTGGACAAAATAAAGTATGCCCGAATTTTCTTCAATGGGAGTTATTCAAACGCGCTACTTCAATCATATCGTTTCATAAGTTCATAGTCATTAGGTTCCTTAATATCTTTTTCTCTTGCATTGAATGAAAAAATCTTTGCAAAAATGAAAAACAAGCACTATTGCATTTTTGCGAATACCTAGTTTACCATAATTTTTGACAGAAAATTTCTTCCATAGGGAAAATACCGCACAGCACTTTTTACTACTATAACAAAACAGTTATACATAACCACAAACAAAGCGAATTTACGCCAGATGTCTGTCAATGTTGCTAACGTTTAGCCCAATTTAATGTTATCCCTATATTGCTTATTATTCAAGTTTCGTTATTTATCCTTATATTTACAACATGTGGCAACCGCGCTAACTGAATCTTTCAAACTCACTGTTATCGTCCACTAGTAAAAGTTGGTTTCAAAAATAGATGTTGGAACTTTTACTGGTGTAATCTTAGCAAATCAGTGAATGTGAGCTTTTACTAGTACCTAATTGTTAACAATCACTGATTTCCAACTTTTACTGTAACATATACACTGATTTTTATCTCTATATTATCTACATTTTAAAAATAAAAGCGATTTGGCACTTACTGACTCATCACGGTATCTCCAAAACTACACGGCAAATTGAGCTGAAAATTGGTATAGTTACTCCTTTTGGACATAGACGCTCACTAAGAACAGATTTGGATCAAATCCAATCCAAAATATAATTTTTTAATATTCGGAAAATTATGAGAAACTTTTTGTAGCCTCCACATAAAATGCCAAACCATGACATTAAAACTTCAAAATATAAGTTTAAAATTGTTGTTTTGTTAATTTGATTGTTATTATGTTATTAGCGCGGAAAAAAAACATTTCAATATTATTTTTACTGAACTATGTTTAATAAATTAATTCCAGTTCGATTATATAGTTTGCAGTAAGTCATAAAAAATGTGTAGGTTTGTATTTACCTACACATTTTTTATGACTTTAAAAAATATCTATGTTTGATAAAAATGTCAAAAGTGACAAAAGCATGAAAAAAAATCCATATCGTCCGTCACACCTATCATCAGTTAAGTGTATGCTGTAATTTTTGAAATAAACCATTAAAATTGCTAAAAAATTAACGGTGAGAGATGCATGTCAACCCACGCTTAAAACACAATTTGATAATTATTGTGTATGTACAACAAATGATAAAAAAACGGCGTCAGCGATGGCTATGAAATGAAGATCGTTGTCATTTTATATGTAAAATTATATGGGAAATGTCATCGATCGTCATTTCCAAACCAACTGGACTCCAGTTTTTTGTTAATCATACGGTTTTTAATTTGCTTTCTTATAAAACTAAGGTCGGTCCCCTCGAGTCCATTATATGCGTTATACAGGGGTGTCTCAATCAGGGTGTCTTACAACCTAACCTAACCTAAACGACTAAACCCGCTATTTACTAAAATTTATGTAGGCGCGGGGGTAGTTTTTACCCATCCCGTACTTTTTCTTGATTTTTGTGACAGTCAAATGTTAAAGCCTTAGCAAAACATAGACACCCAAAATCTCATTCAAATAGGAATAACGGTTCTTAAAATATCTGAAAAAATGTGTTTATTATTTTAAAGTTTGATGCCCTCTAGCGGACAAACGAAGCAAATTTGTATAGGCTTGGTGCATTCTCCGCCGGTGCTGTCACCGGCCGAGAATATCGTAAATAACGAACACATACAAATACACGGGTTTAAATGGCGAGTAAACGCAACAATTAGTATATAATTATTCTAAAAGTGTTAGAAAGTATAATTTGTGAAAATTCTAAAATTAAAAAAAAATTCTTCTGTTTATTTTTTTCAAGTTTGATACCCTCTAGCGGACAAACGAAGCACTTTTGTATAAAGGTAAATGTGTCCAATGAACTCATTTTGATTCCAAAAATACGTAGTAGTTCTATGTCCACGAAATTTTGAGACACCTTGTATACTTGTATCATCCAACTTTTATAATAATAAGGAAGCGGCTATAACTATGGCTTTTAATTTCAGGCTCCAGGACAATGGGTGAACGGTCATTGGGTCAGCAACAACACCCAAAGTCCCAGAGAGGTCAATTTGCAGGCTTTGGCAGAGATGGGCTTCTGGAACCGCGATCTGAACGCCACACTTTTGGCGCGTTACGATGACGATTTGAACAGAGTCGTGGCCGAATTGGTTCAATAAATTCATACATACATAATATTATACTTCGTTAGATTTTTAAAGTTTTTTTCTTTCCAGAAAAACATATATTTTTAATTTAAACATATATAGTATATTATATTTCATTACTCTTAGTTTAAGTTAGCACCCTCTGTTATAATCAAGTATTACCCGTGCATTTAACGTAGAAGTTCTTGGTAAAATCAACTTGTCAAGTAGGCCAGGTTTATTCAGTGGCGGTTAAAAGTTTTTTCAATAATTCTATCTTGTTTTGAAAGTTATGAGGCACCAAAATGAACAAAATCTGGCGTTAGCGATTTAGTATTTTTATCTCGAAAAATAATAAAGTCTGTTCGTTTTCTCAAGGGGGAGAGGGGGAGAGAGGGAGGGAGGAAGAGAGAGAGAGAGAGAGATTACGAGATAGTTACGGAATGGGTTAACATCTGTGGTAACGAACTGGTTACTGATTTCAAATATGGTTAGGATGACTGATACCTAACGCCAAAACGCCTTCTGTTGCCACCAGTCTGGCTTATCTATGGCAGTGTGGCCAGATTGGGCGCTTTTCAGACTTTATTTGCGCCAGAAAAAAAAATAAAAAGCCCAAAGTGCAAATTGGGCGTTTTTAATTTTCTAGATTGAGATAGATAGATAGAGAGAGAGAGAGAGATGTTTTGATTTCCAAAACAAAACCTGTTTCTGAAAGACGAGTTTTCGCGTTTACCAGGTTACGGAATGGGTTAACATTTGTGGTAACGAACTGGTTACTGATTTCAAATATAGTTAGGATGACTGACACCTAACGCCAAAACGCCTTCTGTTGCCACCAGTCTGGCTTATCTATGGCAGTGTGGCCAGATTGGGCGCTTATCAGACTTTATATGCGCCAGAAAAAAAATAAAAAGCCCAAAGTGCAAATTGGGCGTTTTTAATTTTCTAGATTGAGCGTTTTTAATTTTCTAAAATTCTAGAGATTAGAGATTATGTTGATGAATTTCTTTTTTTCCCGACAATATTTTGTCACAGTAAATTGTTGTCATTTTTTTGTAATTTTATGTAATTAAATAATTCATAAGTCAAAATTTAGAGTTATATACCCGGCTATGATAGCCCGACTCATTTACCAGATTACACCAAATTACAGACCGCTAGCTACTACGTATACGAGCAGTCTTAACCATAAAATAATGGATGCAGATTTTTTAACCATAGTTATCATGTTATCAACCAATACTATCACTTGGATAAGTTTTGGACTGGTTAAATTTGTTTATTGTACTGATTTGCGCTTTTTGGTGCTTTTTTAGAACTGATTTGGCGCCTTGAATTTCAAAAATCTGACAATACTGCTTGTAACCAGAGAACGTGACCGGCTTTCGAGCTAGGTCACGAAAATCGTAACCAGGTTAGAAGTATCGACGTTGCCAAATTTCATTACCAGAAATATAAAACACTGCGTAAACGCGGTTACTAGTAACTAGATTATGAATTTCGTAACCAGGTAAACGCGAAAACTCGCCTATAGTTAGAAAACGCCATGTTAGTAAACGCCTTAACTTCAATAATTGAGATACAAGTGTGTCACTCAAAAGATTATGGTATTTTTTCAATTAAATGAGAAGAGAGACACACATTTCTTGTAAGCCTGACGATGTGATAACTTAAAAATTCCCGGAGTTAGTCGTGTGGCACAAACTCTTTTTATAATGTTGTGCACAGCTATTGGGTTCTTTCGTGGCTCACTTTGACCAGTTTAATCTGTTGGATATTTTAGAAGTGTCCTTTTTGCACTTGATGTTTGATAGTTTTATTTTATATCGACGTGGTTAATATAATATTACAACTAATTGCTGAAAAAAAATTACCGAGATGTTTGAGGTGTGCTTTTATTTTTATTAGTGTGATACAAGGAGTTATACCACTTACCTATATTCTGGTAATATGGTATAGAAGTAGATTTAAGAGCAGGTATTTGGTATTTCTAACCGTAATGTAGCTGTAATTGATTTTTGAGGATAGGCTATTCTACTTTTTGTTGGTGGTAAACCTTTCGTATATATAATAATCTGTATGTGATAATTGATTGTTAAATATAATCTTCGTTCCAAGTATATTTTTGTTTTTTTATGAATGTACTAGATGAAGCCTGGCGCATCCGCCACGACATCAGGAAAAAAATACTTATTTTTTTTAAATTAAACGAAAAACAAAAAATCCGGCGACGACAGTTTTTAGAAGAGCCAATTAACTATCTTTTAGTAAAAAAAACAACTTTCTAGACCAAGTCGTTACTTCAGTAGAGACGACACAGATAAACATTAGCATTTTATATATGTAGATTTTCCTGTTGCCAGCTGAATTCTTTAATAACTTTGTCGAAAAATATATTGCCTGCTAATAAAAATCATAGAAAATCTAATTATAGTTTACATAAATTTTATGATCATACAGGGTGGTGCATTTCATTCGCCTCGGTTGATTATACGAAAATGGAAAGATGTAGAAACAAAATATTTTATGGGTATGTGTGGGGAGGCAATGCGCACAATTTAAAATTATTTTGAAGTATACAAGGTGTTTCAGAACTAAGATCCACACCAAAGTTATATTTTTTCTGATGGAACACCCGGTATTTTATTTCATTTTTGGATCCTTGGACACAATATAAGGAATTTGTTATAAGGCTTAAATATGTTTAATGTTTACAAGCTTTGGTTGAGATTTTTAAAATGCATGCTATAATGTAACGTGAAATGTATGAAAAATTTTGGAAAATCGATTTTGCTTATTTCGTAATATGTTGTAGCGCTGAATATGTACTTTACAAAAATGGTATCGTTTTTGAGATTCACACCTTTTTCGTTCGCACAGATATTTGGTGTTAAATGTTTCGAAAAACGGAGAAAAATATTTCTTTTGTAGATTTTCTCAAATAACTCGAAATCTGTTAGAGATATCGGAAAACGGTTTTCGGCATTCAATTCTACATAAAATGAACTATCAGTGAGCATATTTTAGTTGCGATCTGAGAGATTTCGGTTTTTGACAAAATCGACAGGGAGGTGCCGAGGATTTTTTTTGAAAAATTTTGGAAAATCGATTTTGCTTATTTCGTAATATGTTGTAGTGCCGAATGTGTACTTTGCAAAAATGGTATTATTTTTGAGGTTCACACCTTTTGTTCCAGAGATATTTGGTGTTAAATGTTTCGAAAAACAGAAAAAAATATTCCTTTTGTAGATTTTCTCAAATAACTCGAAATATGTTAGAGATATCGGAAAACGGTTTTCGGCATTCAATTCTACATAAAATGAACTATCAGTATCACTATACATAAAATTTTGGAAAATCGATTTTGCTTATTTCGTAATATGTTGTAGCGCCGAATGTGTACTTTACAAAAATGGTATCGTTTTTGAGATTCACACCTTTTTCGTTCGCACAGATATTTGGTGTTAAATGTTTCGAAAAACAGAAAAAAATATTCCTTTTGTAGATTTTCTCAAATAACTCGAAATCTTTTAGAGATATCGGAAAACGGTTTTCGGCATTCAATTCTATTAGTGAGCATATTTTAGTAGCGATCTGAGAGATTTCGATTTTTGACAAAATCGACAGGGGGGTGCCGAGGACTTTTTAGAAAAATGTTGGAAAATCGATTTTGCTTATTTCGTAATATGTTGTAGCGCCGAATGTGTACTTTACAAAAATGGTATCGTTTTTGAGATTCACACCTTTTGTTCCACAGATATTTGGTGTTAAATCTTTCGAAAAACAGAGAAAAATATGTCTTTTGTAGATTTTCTCAAATAACTCGAAATCTATTAGAGATATCGGAAAACGGGTTTCGGCATTCAATTCTACATAAAATGAACTATCAGTATCACTATACATAAAATTTTGGAAAATCGATTTTGCTTATTTCGTAATATGTTGTAGCGCCGAATGTGTACTTTACAAAAATGGTATCGTTTTTGAGATTTGCAACTTTTGTTCCAGAGAATATTTGGTGTTAAATGTTTTGAAAAACAGAGAAAAATATTTCTTTTGTAGATTTTCTCAAATAACTCGAAATCTTTTAGAGATATCGGAAAACGGTTTTCGGCATTCAATTCTATTAGTGAGCATATTTTAGTGGCGATCTGAGAGATTTCGATTTTTGACAATATCGACAGGGGGGTGCCGAGGAATTTTTTCGAAAAATGTTGGAAAATCGATTTTGCTTATTTCGTAATATATTGTAGCGCCGAATGTGTACTTTACAAAAATGGTATCGTTTTTGAGATTCACACCTTTTGTTCCACAGATATTTGGTGTTAAATCTTTCGAAAAACAGAGAAAAATATTTCTTTTGTAGATTTTCTCAAATAACTCGAAATCTATTAGAGATATCGGAAAACGGTTTTCGGCATTCAATTCTACATAAAATGAACTATCAGTGAGCATATTTTTAATGTATACAGGGGTTAATTAATGTATACAGGGGTATCAAAAATTGCTGGTTAGGTACTATTTTACATAAAAACTTCGTTATTTCAAATGCAGTACTCTGTATTTTTGAAAATAAGTCGAAGCAGGTTTAAATACTCTTTCAAACTATATCAGGGTTTTCTATACCTATCTAGGTTAGATTTTAAATAAAAGGCGATATTAGTTTAAGGACATTATTATTTAGATTTATAATAGTTTACTTAAATTTACCATTTATTTACGATAGTTTAATAAGTATTCATTATTTTATCAAGAAAAATAAAGTATCTGCTGGTTTTGTGATTTTATTTTGCGAGGAAAATTGTTTCTTGGTCCCTTGCTTGGGCTTATGCAAAAATCAAGATAAAAATCAAAGATATTCAAATAGGAATTTTCCTGATAAGCGTTCCTTTGAAAAAAGGAACTTCTTAGGCAGAAACCTGTCATTGGAAGTGAATAAAATATGCCGTAATTGGCTCTTTTATAGAAAATCCATATATCTATAAGTCATCGTAAAATAAATCAAAGAACTACTTCTTTGTTTTACTTGATAGAATAATAAATACATATTTGATATAAATATTATTTATTAAGTTATTGTAGGTAAATTAAATAAAAGTAAACTTCTATAAATTTAAATAAAGTCCATAAACTAATTTCGATTTTGAGAGAGAGAAAATACCTATTAACTGTCACTAGAAACTTGCCATGATGATATCAGATAATTGCTCTTTATTTAAAATCTGAGCCAGATAGGTATAGGATACCCTAATATAGTTCGAAAGAGCATTTCAATCTGCTTCGATTTATTTTAAAAAATACAGGGTGTTGTATTTGAAATAACGAAGTTTTATGTAAAATAAATATTTAAAATAAACCAGCATTTTTTGATACTCCTGTATCTTGTATACATTAAACCCTTAATTATAAATATAGACAAGGATTAAACGAAGCAATTAAATTTTTTAGTAAAATTTTTTCTTTGGCTTAAAAGTCAGCACAAAAATTAATTCTGAAAAGCAAAAATGTTCAGGGTGTTTATATTAAATGCCTTATTTTGTGTCCAAGGATCCAAATATGACAAAATACCGGGTGTTCCATAAGAAAACATATAACTTTGGTGTGGATCTTAGTTCTCACATACACTGTACATTTCAAAATAATTTTAAATTATGCACATTGCCTCCCCACATATACCCATAAAATATTTTGTTTCTACATCTTTCCGTTTTCGTATATAATCAACCGAGGCGAATGAAGTGCGCCACCCTGTATATTAGATAATAAATAATAGTCCCTGCTTATCTGATTATAAAAAATGTAAAAAAATTATAAAATAATATGATTAAAAAAGGGCGTCAGCGATGGCTATGAAATGAAGATCGCTGTCATTTTATATGTAAAATGATAAGGGGAATGTCATCGATCGTCATTTCCAAGCCAACCGGACGCGGTTTTTTTTTTCGATCATACGGTACAATGCGTGCTTAAAGAATAGTATAGAATTAAGTTATTTGTTACTCTCTTTAATTTTTATATTAATAGTATCAATGGTATATTAATATAATTTTGTAACTGTTATTTACAAAACAAACTGAAGTGTCATTGTTAAGATATAATAAAACGATAATTTGACCTGTTTAGAAATGTAAGCGATGGTGGTGTTTCAATTCTATAGTTTTATGACCATTATATTGTTAATTCACATTTAGGGTAGTTTAACAACAAAAGGAATCCCCTTTTATAAATATTATACCAATTTAAGTTATACAAAATTGACCAGCTAGCAAAAAAATGTAATAAAATTCTTCGATTAACACTTAGTTTGAACACATAAAAGATAATGTTGCAAGGCATAGGACATCTTTAAGTTAAAGACATTCGACAACTTCGTACCGAAATAGATAGTTCATAGATCGCATCATCATGGTGAATTGTACAAGTGCAGTTAAAAGTGTTGTTGACGCAGAAAATCAAATGTAAGTACATAATTATAAGTTTAAGTAATACGTTAATTATAAATTTAAGTGAAAACAGCTCTTAATTATGAAATTTAAATAGTTTTAGTAAAATTATATTACGCGATTATTTTATATTTTGATTGGTGTTGTGTGATAAAGGATAAGCATTTTAATGATTATGCGATTATTTGCTAATATCAAAGTGTCCCCGGATTGTCTTTACAAGAGGAAAAACTTTTATTATTGACATTTGAGAAAAATGCATTCTTCATAAAAAATTTCGCTTGTTCTAAAATGGTTAATCTTGTTTATACAGGGTGCTACAAATTCGAGGTACGAGCATTGGTATCTCGGAAACCGTAATAGATACGAAGATGGTTAAATTGGGGCAAAGTTGCGCCTTGGGCTGTTCACCAAGATGCAATCAAAAAAGTTTTAAAAATTTCAAGGATTGCTGAGTTTTTTGGAAAAAACGGATTTTTTTGAAAACTAATTTTATTTTTTTTCTGTCGTTAGTTCTTAGAAAATCAAAAAACTAATTGCACATTCTTATAGCCACTTTATTAGGGCTATCTGATAGTATTTTTAGATTTTCAAATTAGCTGCTAATTTGTGAGATACAGAGGCCAACTTAATTTTTTTTAAATACGGACCTGCATTTTTTATTTCAGATTTTGAAAGA